CCTGTGGATAAAAAACTAGCGATATATACTAAAATTACATATGAATTTACCTTTCAACCCAGTGATCCCACTTCTAGAAATCTAGCCCAAAGATTCTATAGTGGGCAGAATTTAAGAGCCCCAAGATTCTGAGGCCTTAAACACTAATGCATGTATTGCTGTGAAGAGATTTTTGTGGAAGTCCTTAATTGATTTTAAAATAGGAGATTATCCGAGTGGCTCTGATATCATCACAAGAGCCATTCAAAAGAAAAGAATTTTCTCGGGGCTGTTCACAGGAGAGGAAGTCAGAGAGATTCAAAGCATGAAAGGGATTTGACGGAAGGGATGTTGTTCACAGTTGAAATGGAGAGGGCCACAGAAAAAAAACCCCAGGAGCAACTCCTGCCTGACAGCCAGCAGAAAGCCAGGCACTTAAGTCCTACAACCTAAGAATTCTGCCTAGTATTAATTTGGAACTGCAGTTTTCCCCAGGGCCTCCAGATGAGCACTTAGCCTGGTCAACATCTTGATTTCGGCTTATAATACTCTGAGCAGAAAACCCAGAAACACAGTGCGAGATTTCTGATGTACAAAACTGTGAGCTCCTAAATGTGTGGTTTTAATTTGTTTAGTTTGTAGCAAGCTGTTATGCAACAGTAGAAAATATATACGCACACTGATAAATACAATAAATATAAACCAAGCTATTAATTTTGGCATAACTTATAATAGCAAAAACCTTAAAGAATGCAGTGTCGACCAATAGATGATTGGATGAATAAACTCTAGCACAACAGTACACCATGCATTTGTAGAAAAGGGTAAGGGTGGAGCTCTATATACTGGTATGCAGTAATCTCAAAGGTAAAGAATTAAAAGAAAAATGCAGAGACAGGGCAGTGTTTAGAGCATACTATCTTTTGCTTAAGTCTGGAGGGAAAGAAAATATATTATTTTTTAAAGTAACAGTTGTAAAGTAACAGTTGAAGGATAAGCCAAAAACTAACAAAAAGTGTTAGCTATAAGGCAGTGCTATAAAAAAGAACTTTCTGCAATGATGGAAATATTCTGTCTGTGCTATCTAATGTGGTAGTCACTGGCCACCTATGGCTAGTGGGTACTTGAAAACTTGAAATGTGGATAGAACTTACAGGAGAGAAATTTTGAATTTTATTTAGTTGTCATTAATTTAAATTTAAATAGCTACATGGAGCTAGCTGCTATTATAATGAAGATCAATACATACATACGGTGAGAAAGGACAAAAGGGATTAATACGTAAGCACATTCTGTGACTTTACCTTGTTACATATTGGAGTCACATATTTTAAAAGAACATTAAATCATGTAAGAATCGAAAAGACAAAATTAATACAAAAGGTAAAACAACCTCTCAATTTAGAACATTCTAAAACAAGTCTATTAAGTTAGTGGCATAACAAGGCAGAACAGAGATTTACTTCAAGTAACTTTAAAACACAACATTTTGATTGCAAATCCCTGGTGGCATAAATTCTAATAACAAAACTAACTGAAATGAAATGTCAATATGCATGCACTAATTTTATTCTGAATAAATATGTACACTGTACAATAAAAACAAGTAAGTAGTTTCGTTCATGTCATTAGTAACCAAGCTTTTCAGCGAAAGAGAAAAATCTAAGAAAAAAATCAATATAGGCTCATGATGAATTTCTCTTTAAAAAAAAATACTTATACTCTTCAGCTGTCCACTGAAAGGACTGGAAATAATGACAACCCTAAACGATGAAAATTTCTAGTGTCCAGGTTATAGTTTCTAAATAGCAAGTCCTAGTAAAAGGAACAACAACTCTTTGAAGATGGCCAATTCCAGGACTGAGCCAGAAAATGTATACAATGAGCCCAGAACATCTTATATGAGAAAGAAATATATCAAACAGGAATAACAACATGTCAAAAGGACTCTGCAGCCAAAGAATATCTTGATTATCAAAAGCAATAATGACTAACTGTACTGGATTGAAACATATACATATAAAAACTAGAAGCTCATAATGATAATAATAAAAAACATCCCTTTTGGAGATTACTAGACCAATTCACTACTTTAAAAATTTATAAATAGTCAAGCATTTATTCTGCCATTCCTGAAAAAAAAACTTTTTCAGGGTTTCCTTTATTAAATAATTCCAGTGAAATACAAAAAAAGAATGACAGAACTATAATCACCATTTCACATCTCCCAGTGAAACAATGAATCAATGCAACCCAGGACAAATAACCCAGTTTTTCCAATAAATCAATGGCATGGAAACAAAGAAAGAACTGTTTTAGAAAAAAGATGTAAAAGACATAATGACTGAATGCAATGTATGGACCTTGTTTGGATCATGACTTGACCAACTATTAAAAAAAAAAAAAAAGACATCTTAAGAAAAAGGAAACTTCTATACAGACCACATATTAGGTAACATTAAAGGATTATAGCTAACATTTTAGATACGATTAAAGCCATGATGGTTTATGAGGTGGTAATTCAAACAAAACAAAACAAAACCCAGAGGTCCTTATTACTTAGAGATACATACTAAATTATTTACAGATAAATTGGCATTATACCTAAAACATGCTTTATAATTCTCCAGGAAAAGAAAAATGCAGGAGTAAAGGAGAGGAAACTGGTTAAGAATAGGGGAATGGATGGCAGAACACTGACAGAATGTCGATAAAAGCTAAAGTTTAGTGTTGAGTATATGGGAGTTCATTATACCATTTTTTAAATGCAAGTTTGAAAGCATCCACAAAAGAAAGCCCACCCATGAATGTGTGCAGTTAAATACACACACACACACACACACACACACACAGTTCCTCAGTGTAACTTCCTAGGGTTCCTGCCACAGGACTCCCAAAGAAAACAGAAAGATACTAAATTTAAATTCTTTTGAATAAAGCCTAAGAAGGGCCAAGATCATTAAGAGCCTATCATATAATTAATAAAAAATGAAGTTACTGAGAACCCACCATGCTCACAGTAGCAAAAGAAAAACAAAACAACAACTTGCTAGACTTTTTGGGCAAAAGACAAAATCCAGTTCCTCTCCTCATGGATTTTACAGTCCATTAGGACAGACAAATGCAAAAGTAATTATACAATACTGTGACATATGAGATGACTTCTTTTGAGTTAAGCATGAAAAATGAGGAGATACTATGTAGCCAAAAAGCAAGGTTTAGAAAACTTCCAGACCCCAGAGAAAGGAAGAAACTTGTTCGAAGACCCTGGAAATCAGAGAGTGGAAGGTGACAAGAGAAAAAAAAGGGCTTTGAGAAACAAGGAGAAGCTGTATGTCAGGCAAAGGAACATGGCTACGCATGGAGGCAAAAGGAAGTCAGCAAAGATTTTAAATAGAATTACTACATCCGGTTTTCATTTCTAAAGGACCACTTTGAGAATAAATCAGCATGAGGATAAATTACAGGTTGAGACTGGGGGGAAAAAAAAGCAGTTAGGATCTCACTGAAGTAATCTAGACAACAAATGAGAATCTGAGCTAAGGTGGCCTTAATAGGAATAAAAAAAGTAAACAAGATGTAGTTATTAGGGAGGCAAAAATCTATACATGGTGATTAACTGCATGTACAGAAAGAGAAGTCAATGATGACTTCCAGGTTTCTAGCGCATTATGTGGATGATGGTGCCATATGCTGAGATAGGAAAACAGGAAATGGAATTGATTTAAAATAGGGAAAAAAAAAAACACATTATATTCAGTTCTAGAAGTGGTAAGACTAAGATGCCCATCAGTGTTCCAGATGTCCATTATCTGGTAGAAATCTGAGTATAGATTTGACAGGTGAGCAATACAGGTCAGAACTGTCCATATACAACTAAAGTCACAGTAGTGGATGAGATCAACCTGGATAACAGACAGCAGAGGAAGAGAAGTCCACAAAGGAGACTATATAAAAGAGACTAGAGAAGCTGGAAGAGAACCAGAAGTAGAACCACAGACATAGGAGAGAGTGACAAGACTCCCATAACTGATTTCAACAAAGGCAATAATTTTAGGAATATCTTCAAAAACCATTCACTGGACATCTACTATGTGCTAAATGCTAAGGATGACTAAGATATCCTACCTGTTCTCAGGCACACACAGGGTAGCAGGGAAGACAGACACATAAATGGCTAATTATAAAACTACTTAAGAAATGCCAAGATACAAGTAGCACAAGGTAAAATTGAAACACTTCAAGGAAAAGAGAATAGAAATTAAAAATCCAACATTAGAAGTATCTATCTTTATATTTCATTCATAAAGTTATCAAAAATTTCCAGAGTAAAGTTTAAAAAAATTAGAATGTTTAGGATTAACAAGAATTAAAAATATTCAAATGGGCAAAACTATAGAAAAAACAGTAACACACAGGTCAAAGGGACCAGAAAATAAGAATGATTAATAGAATCTCAGTGTTAATTAAATAATTCTTTATGAATGCATAAGTATATATTTTATGTGCTTAATTCATAAAGTTATCCAAAGATGAGAAATCTAAATGATTAAAACAAGTTACCCATTTTGGAGTATGAATATGAAAAAAGTCTCAAATAAATATATATATACTGCCCTCATGGGGCAGTAATAGGTAGTTCATTAAAATATAAGCAGAAAATATATTGGACTCCTTGGATCTAGTTTAATCCTAATTATTGTAGCCAATGAAGAAGCAACACTGGTGTGACTAGTAACATAAACCATCTAAAAATCATTCATGTACATATTTCTGTTTAAGCCATGTTTCTTTCCTGATTGGGGAGCATTAACCTTGTATTCCAAGAGGTGTTGTAACTTTTAGGTGACCTGGATCAAAAATTCCATGCACGGATAATTCAGAGCATATCCCATGGGTAAATAAATCAAATCAGCCTTTAAACACCATTAAATAATGTTCCTTTTTTTTGTCAAACTGCACTGTACTACAAATCTCAAATATCATTTATATAAGGTAAAGACTAAAAGAAAATGACTTACAATAACACACGTTGGGACTTCACGAAGAGAATACTCTGCTTTATTAGGAAGATCTTGATTGCCTACCAGCTCGTAAACAGCAGGATAAGGTAACAAGTTCACCAGTGCTAGAAAAGACTAGGCAGGGAAGAAAGAAAACACTGTCATTTAAATGGTGCATGTTTTTCAACCACATCCATGATACAGTTTTATAGGAGTATGACTATGAGGTTTAATTTTTTCAAATAAGCCTAATTAATCTACATAAATGTGAAATATATACATGTTAAGTGCCAAATAGCTAACCTCAACAATAATCTATGTGCTGATAATGCATAACAATTGTAACAGAATATATAGGAGTTGGAAAATGTTTTAAAATGTCTTGTATCTCTTGAAAAGTTTGGTTTTGAGAAAAAAATGAAATCATTTTATTGCTGGAAAAAGCTGAATAAAATAATATTAAATGTTAAAAAAAGAAATGATCCATCTTTCTCATTATATGAATTGTTTTAACTGATGTGTAAGAAATATAAGAGAGTAACACAGTGGGGCTCTGAAGCAAGGTAATAAATTCTATATATTTTCACATTCAGGTCACAAGGCTTTCTTTATCCTTAACTACATTCACTGGAAATCCAACTAACCTAAATACTATAGTTAATTTTAAAAAGCTATGGCTTTACCTATCAAAACCAGCTCATTTTCTGGTGCAATCTTAACAAGTTAATCTCTCCATGAAGTTTTTAAGCTCTCACATTTCATCTTACTAAAAACAACCTGAAGATTTTTCTCAGGCACAGTTCATTCTTTGGATCACCTGCACAAAAGCATGCAGTGGTGGCCCATCACTATCAAGTCTAAACTCCTTAGCAAGACTTGCAAGGCACTTAACTAATTGACACCTTTCTTCTCTTCACAGTGTCAAAAGCCTTGTTTTCCATTATCCCTCAGCAGGAAGTCACTACTTCAGTCAACTGAATCTGCCTGTGGTCCCCTTCAAGTAAATGACTGCCACATATGCAAACCTTTTGATCCTACAAACATATTCCTCCTACCCTCCCACTTACTCATTATCCCACTTCATAAACTCGCCACATTTTTTTTCTAGAAGGCTTTCTAATGAACTCTATTCACCTCTAGAAACCCTGTATTCTGCCAATACTTGTATGTTTCATTTGTATTGTATTAGTTGTATTTATTTGTAACTATTAAGTTTTCTGCTTATCATTTAAAAAAAATTTCACTGGATTCAGAAAATTTGAGAATCAAAATAAGAATTTTCACTGTACTCAGAACACGAGAAAATTTAAAAGAACAGTTAATTCAATCTCTCACATAGTAGATGAAAAAACTTAAGGACCAGAGAAGTTAAGCGACTCAGCCAAAGACACGCAATCAGAAAGTTGGCAGCAGAACTAATCGGCATTTTCTTATTTTCAGGCTAGATTACTCATTACAAGTCCCAGTATAATCTTCAGACACTATTTAACAATGTCACCAGTGCTACACAGTCCTTGTTTGAGGACTTGGAAGGTACAGTCCATTTTATCTCCACCTCCACCCTTATTATGCCAAATGCAATATTCCTTAACAAATAACAGTGGTTATAGTCAATATATTTAACACAGTGGATTTTAACAAAATGTTGCTGTAGAATGAAAAATGAATTCTTTAAAAGTTTCCTTTTCTTCCCATGAATATGCCATAAAATGAAGATAGAATTTTTAACTACTTCTAAGAAAATAATCTATATACTCCTGATTTAAACCAGTATCATTTGGATAGCAATAAAGTTATCATAAAGTAGAATAACTAAATTTAATAACCTAGTTGCCATTTACTGAATGCTTATCTAAAGAACACTATGCAAGAAGTGTTCACTATAGAGAAAACAAAACAAAACAAAAAAACTGGTATCAAGGAAAGGATGTTTAAGGAATGTGTCAATTAATTATACATAAAATGAACTGCAGGGAAACTAGAGAGTTCATGGCCACCTACAAAACCACCTAGGAAAAATTCACTAATCATCAAGGTATTGACTACAAAGATGATGAACATAGATTTCATATTTGTATTATTCATCTAGTTTATGAAAAAAATAAGATGCTAAAAAATAAACAGAAAATGCTTTATAATTTAAACATGTAAATATTTTATAAATGTTCTTAATATTTACCCAGTATTTAGAGTTATAAGTGAGTCTTATTTAAAGTATCCTTCCCATCTATTATTACAAGAAACTTTTAATAAATGTTCACCTTAACATCTGACACTGTCCATAAAGGCACATGGTCTTTACAAATCACATATCAATACTATCCTGAGAGTTTTTGTATTATTTGCACATGAGGAATTCCATGGGTAAACATGAAACTTCTTCCTTTCACCTAAGAAATAAAACAACCTAGACCACACAGAATCATGATAACTTCTGATATGGTACTCTAAACTAATTATGTAAAACATAAGGTAAAAATAATTCAGTAATATATTTGAACAAAACGAACTAAATAATCTTAAAGAAACGAGAAAATTTCAGCAGCTTGTTTCTAGGAGAAAAAAATGCATTTTTCATACAGTGAGCATTTTTTTAAAAACATTAGCATACTATAAAATTGTGATGTCTTATTTATAACATAATCATGAGTTCCCAAGAAAACATCATAAGATGTGCTAATATCAAACATTAATTATCCTAAAATTTATATTAGCACAAAACATTTTACTTCCATGTCTTGAAGAAAATAAGGTTTTCTAAAGTAATAGTAAGGAAACTAATTAAAGGCCAAATATTTGATATATCTTGAGACTAAAGCATTTTAAAATTACCCAAGATCAAACACTTTTTTTATGAATTAAAACTCCTTCAGGTTGATAATGATCATCCATTCACTTATTAGTTCAAAATATTTTAACACCAGCTGCTTATCAGCAATCATGCTAGATGCTAAGAATAAAAATATGAATGAATAAAGGAATGGTCCCTGCCCTCAAGAACTCACACTGTAATAGAGGACAAATACACTATTAGATCATTTAAAATGGTTCTCTAAGTGACCTGATGGTACCATACAATGGAGAGGGTTGGAAGGACATTGGGAGGATCACACTATACAGCAAAGCAAGAGGAGATGAGAGCTATGACTGCAAAGTAGCAGGCAGGTAGGCAGGAGGAGATGTACTATGTTAATGATCACTACCTTTATCGTCTAGGAAAAAGAACCAAGTTTTTCCAGAATAGTAATGGGAATTTCATTTTACCTTATAGATAGAAAGCTGTGAAGGAAAATGATTTTAAGGGTAGACAATACCGGGGGAAAAGAAATTAAAATTTGGGGTTCTATCAATTATACTTATTAGACCAAAAATGTATTTTTAAGTTTCTAATACAGAAATCAGAAAGTGATTTAAAAAGGCAAATTTGAGATAAGAGAATCAAACCATTTTAAATAGTTTTACATCTTTCTAATCTGTATGCCTTCCTTTTTTTTTTTTTTGTTTTACTTATCGCACTAAGATCTAATACAATGTTAAATTGGTAAGGGTGAATAGATTTTAGGTCCAGTATTTCACCATTAAATGTGAGATTCATGTTTTTGATAGATAGTATTTATCAGATTGAATGAAATCTGCCAAGTTTTTATCATAAATGGGCATTAAATTTTGTCAAATGATGTGTCCATGTCTACTGAAATCATATGAGTCTTCTGTATTGTTAATATAGTGAATTATAGTCCCATTTTAGAATGAGAAACCAACTTTCTGTTGCTTGGGATAAACCCCACTTGATCATAAAAAATGATGGATCCTTTTATATATTACTATATACAATTTGATATTTCGTTAAATATTTAAATCTATGCTCAGATATACTTATTTGTTTTTAGTAACAGTTTTATCTCATCCACATCAATATTATGATGGTCTCCTCACAAAAGTTAGAACTTGATTCTTCAACCTCTGTTTTGTGAAAAAACTTGTGGGAAAGTGTTGTTCTCTCTCCTATAAGAGTTTCATAGAATTCACCAGTGAAACCACGTGGCTCTCTATGGAATTTGATAATGAATTTGATTTCTTTAACAGACACATAGCTATTCAGATTTTCTATTTTCTATTGGGTCAGTTTTGGTAAGCATATTTAAGGAATTTGCCAATTTTATCTTAGTTGTTTAACTTACAGCATAAAGCTGATTATAATATTCCTTTATTACTCCTTAATAACTACAGGATCTTCAGTGAAACTCTTCTTTCATTCTTGATTAACTTTGGGCCCCTCATTTTCTTGATGACTCTAGCCAGGGGTTTATTATTTTTAATAATCATTTGCAAGTACCAACTTTTGGCTTTGTTACTTTTCCGTTTGTCTTTTCTCTGTTTCATTGATTTCTGCTCTAATGTTCATTATTTCCTTTCTTCCATTTGCTTTGGGTATAATTTGTTCTTTTTCTAGTTTCTTAGAGTGAAAACTTAACTCATTAATTTTAGATATTTCTAATATAAATATTACAGTTAAATATCCCTCTTAGCACTACTTCAGAAACATTTGCAAAATTTCTATTTTACTTTTATTTTCTGCTTTAAAATATTTCCTATCTCCCTTATAACTTCTTTGAGCTGTGTGAATTTAGAGGTGTATTTCCAAATATTTGGGCTTTTACAGTTTCTAGCTTGTGATACTTAGGTTCACTGTGGTCTCAGAACATACTTTGTATTGTTCCAATCATTTTAAATTTATGCAGACTTAACACTCTAGCCCAGCAAGTCTCTTGGTAAGCATGCTAAGTGCTCTTGAAAATACGTGTTCTGCAGTCACTGAATATAGTAATCCATAAAGAACAATTAGATCAAGTGATAACTAGTGATATTCATATCGTGTACCTGAGAACAGACTGAAAGATCTGTTACATCAATTGCTAAAAGAGGAATGTTAAAATCTTCAATATTACTGTAAATTTGCCTATATCTTCCTTAAGTTATGTTAATACTTCATATATTTTGAATCTCATTTCTAGGATCATAACTAATTTACGATTGTTATATCCTCCTGATATATTGACCAATGCTTCTTAATCCAACATTACTTCATTTTCTCTGTCTCTGACATTAAATATGGCTACTGCAATCTTCTAATGTATATTTTTTCCTCTCTTTTTCTAGTCATTGACTTTCAACTTGTCAGTGTCTTTTTCTTTAAAGTGAATTTCTTAGAGACAGCACATATTTGGGTCTTATTCTGAAAATCTCTGCATTTTAAATATTTAGTCTCTTACGTGTAATGCAGTTGATTAGGGCTACTATTTTCCTATTTGTTTTCTTTTTTCCCATCCCTTTTCTGTCCCTCTCTGCATTTTTGGGGTTATTTTTAGGATTTTATTTTAGTTCCATCTTTTGCATTTTATTTCATGGTTTTTCTAGGTCAGCTGTCCAATAGACCTCTCTGTGGTGCTGGAAATGTTATATTATTTGAACTATGCAACAATTGCTACCTACATGTGGCTACTGAACACTTAAGATTAAATGTACTTGAGGGACTGAATTTTTAACTTTGGTTTTAAGTAGGTTTAAGTAGGTTTTAAGTAGCCGCATGGTACTATTGTCTATCATATTCCAAAACACAGGTATCGCGAGGTAAGAGGAGACTGGACCGGAAATGAGTTTAGTGTACCTCATTATATACGGAAGCCACATTATTATTTTCTATAATTTAAAAGACAGTAAAATTAAATCCCAGTTCCCTAGGGAATAATATTTAGAACTACAAGCTGGGAAGTAAGAATGTTTGCTATGAGTTATTTCTAGATAATTCAGTTCACAGTTTAGAGGAGTATACGTTTTTTTAACAGAAATTAACCATTAGTTTATGCTGACATTTCTAATTCAAAGTCAAAGAATTGTTAAAGAAAATCCCAACCTTATAATAAAAATAGAAATATTTTCTAGGGGTTAAAAATTAATGTTGTTCCACTTCATGTAAAATTTTAGAATCTTGAAACCACATAGATTTGTATACCAGTATACCATTTGCTTGCCCTGTGTAGTAGAGCTGTCATATATATTACCTCTAAGTATAAAATAAATCCCACTATATGTCATAGTTTTCTTTTAAAGAGTCCTATGAATTAAGAGAAAAACAGGGTTGTTGTTTTTTAAGGATTTTATTTATTTATTTGAGAGAGAGAGAGCACATGAGCACAAGTGAGCAAGGGGTAGGGGCAAAGGGAGAGGGAGAGAGAGAATCCCAAGCAGGCGCCATACTGAGCGCGAGCCTGACAGAAGGCTCAGATTTCACGTTCCTGAGAGCATGACTTGAGCCAAAATCAAGACTCAGATGCTTAAAGGACTGAGTCACCCAGGTGCCCCAACAGGCTTTTTTATACTCACTCACCTACTTGCAATTTCTTTTCAGTCTGAAAATCCAAATATCCATCGGTATCATTGTCCTTCAACCTGAAGAAATTCCTTTTGTGTTAAATAAAATGCAAGTCTGCTAAAAAATATTTTCTTAACCTTTAAAGTTTATTTTACTTTTATCCTTGAGTACTTTTGCTGGGTACAGAATTCTAGGCTGACTGGCCTTCCCCCTTTCAGCACATTAAGGATGCTCTATTATCTTCTGGCCTCCACAGTTTCTCATGAGACATCAGCACACTTTTCTGCCGTTCCCCTCTATGTATGATTTTCTATGGCTTCTTTCAAGATTTTCTCTTTATCTTTAGTTTTCAGCAGTTTGTTGGCTGTAATGAGCCTTGCTGTGGTTGCCTTTGAATTTTCATTCTTTGCATATTGTTCCTTGCGATTCACTGTTTCTTGATCTATAAATTTACATTTTTCAAGATATTTGGAAATTCAGCTTTTGTTCAATATCTTTCTGTCCCATTCCCTTTCTTCTTCTATTTCTGATATATCAGTCAAACGTATTAAAACTTTTGATAAGGTCTCACAAATCACAGAAGCATTCCCTAGTTTTTCTGTTCTTCAGATTATATAATTTCTATTTATCTATCTCAAGTTCATGGACTAGTTCTTCTTAATAGAATATTTAAGTATTCTATTAAGCCCAACTAGAAAATTATTTCAGATAAGATAGTTTAGTTCTAGAATTTCTATCTGGTTCTTTTATATGGTTTCTATTTCTTTACTATAATTTCCAGTTTGTTTATTCATTACAAGCATATTTTCATTTGCATGCTACTTGTAACAACTCCTTCAAAATTCTTATATATAATTCCAATTTCTTCATCATTTCAATCTCTATTAGTTGCCTTTTTTGGGTTTGAGTCGCATGTCTCTTATTCTTCATATTTCTATTAATTATGGACTATATCTGATACATTGTGAAAGATCTATTCCCCAATGCTGATTTTAATTTAACAGTTAACATGGCAAATTAAAAAAAAAATTGGGGAAACATATCAAATACATAAAAGCCACTGAACTATAACAGAACATTGTATACGTACTTTAAAATTTCTCTTTTTTTGGCACATTACACTAAATGATAGCATCTTCTCTTTGCCCAGTCATCCTTCAAATAATCCTGACAATTTTCTATCAGATTTAAACCCAAGGGCAAAAAGCTTCCTTATCTTTTTTTTTTTGCTTTGGTTGATTGACTTTTGTTTTAGGGTTTTGGTGGGGGGAGGGAGGTTGTTTTGTCATAGCATGTCTAGTGTATATTACTTTTTATTAAGAGAAAAATTACAGTAAAAACATTGTGAAAGGAAAACATCCTTGCAAAATGCAATTCCCTTTGAACACTGGTAGTTCTAGCCACTTATTTTGAAAACAAAAAAATTAGAAATGAAATAAAGGAGAGAAAAGAAAGTTTGGAAAAGCTGCTGGTTGTAATTGAATATATATATAAAGTCTGGATGAAGTAATTTTTGAGAGAGATACTCAGATCATTCCCTACCTTTTGACAGCTCCGGTCAATAGGATCCACTGGAGTAGATCTGGGATGGGTTACTCTAACGTCATCTCTTCCACATTCCAGATTGGCCCATAATTCAGTTATAAGTCCATTAATAAACCCTAAGAAGAATTATGTTACATCATATTTAAAGTATACTATTTCTTGGGATTATGGAAAAAGACATAATTATCCCTCTGATAAGATTGGTCCACAGTGACAAAAGACACATACTTACATCTTGTATAAGAAATAACCTCTAACCTTGGTAGAAATTATATCTCCTGCTGTTCATTATACCTTCATGATACCTCATTGTCATAAAACTGCATAATGACTAAATTCTGAGACACTATTTCCCTGGAGAACTGAATTTTGAGTCTTAGTATTTATCCCTTAGCCAATAACTTCTGAGCATGTTTTTCTGAAAAATAAGATTTACACTTTACTCTGCAAATGAGCCAACAATGAAAGGCAGCTGAAAGATGGTATGTATGTGCATGTGTGCATGCGCGCATGCATGTAGCAGGTATCAAGAGGCAGGGTAGGCACTTAAAGAGTGAGTGTTCCTTATTCTAATATAACTTTTTTTTTGTAATTCTTATGCTTAAAACAATTCATTTCACACAACTTTAGGCTCAATTCAGTTTAAATTCTCACGAGTCAGATATTATATATCTAAATGAAAGTGATTTTTTTTTAAAGATTTTATTTATTTGACAGAGAGAGAGACAGCGGGAGAGGGAACACAAGCAGTGGAAGTGTGAGAGGGAGAAGCACGTTTCCCGCAGGGCAGGGAGCCTGATGAGGGGCTTGATCCCAGGGCACTGGGATCATGACTTGAGCTGAAGATGACTGAGCCACCCAGGTGCCCCTAGAAAGCCCATCTAGTGAAAGTGATTATTAAGGTTGATTTTTAAATTCTTTTATGAAGAATCAAATTACATAAAAAAGTGTAAAACAGAACATCTAATCATAAAATCGGTAAGTTTGTGATAACATTACAGCAGAAAGGCTCCTGTGGTGTAAGAGAAAAAACATGGGCTCTGAAATCAAGAATATCAGGGTTGAAATTATAAACCTGCCAGCTCAGTAGTTGTGTGTCCTTATACAAATCCCTTGACTTCTTAGAGCATCAGTTCCCCCTTTTGAAAACTGAAATAGTGCTATATTTGAGGGTTGCCATGAAGAATAAATGGGATGATATATGTAGAGTTACTAATATAGTACCCTAAGTTCATAGGAACTCAAGCAGTGTTAGTCCTCCTTCCATTGTCCTGTAAAATAACTGCATTTAACCCTCTGATGAAAAGCTTGATACCATGAGGCTTAGAAGCTTAATGACTTGACCAACAAGGAAATCGGAGATTAAATCTAGTCTCCAAATGCTCCCATTAATGTGCCTCTAGTACGGCAGTATATTAGATTGAGTAGAAGAAAAAATAAGTTGTTCAGTTTAGGACAACTTCTACCAAGAAACAGGTTTCATAATACAAATAGTCCAAATTAGTTTAGCCAAAAGGTTTTTAAGATATATTATAGTAAAATATTTTCATTTAAGGAGAGAATCAGTTGTGGTCAGTGATGTTATAATTCATCAACCCTAAGCTTTGAAAAATATAACCATAGCATCTCTGTTAGAGGTATGTCTTGTCTCTGGCTCAGGGTTCAGATAACCTTAAGATATATTAAGTTAGTGATGTTTAAACTTCTAAAAAATCCAATCCATAGTAGATAATACATGCTGACTGCAAAGACAGTGGTGAAAGCTAAGTGGTGAGAGGGAAGCTTTCAACAAGCAAAAGAGGAAGAAGGGGAATAAAGAAATGGGATGTATGTATGTATGCTAACTATTATGGTTGTACATTTTGAAGCATATACAGGCCACTAAAACTGAGCACTAAGAAATCCTAGAAGATTCAAAAAGAAAAAGAAAGAAAGAAAGAAATCCTGTAAGATTCAGTTGTACTGAAAGGATGATATCCTTTTCATTTATAAGATGAAGACAACTTCCTAAAGATCAAGTACTTCTCAGTTTAATTTATGTTCCATTGTTCTCAGAAAAGAGAACAAGGATGTGTGTATACATATCTTTCAAGGGAAAAAAAAATCCCCATTGCAATTCATGGAAGAGAAAAAATAAAGGAAACCCCATAACTTTCCCTTACCTAAGGCCTAACTTTTCCTAACTTGGGAAAAGCTGGGCCTTACTAACTTTTCTAAAATAAATATCCTGAGAGCTGACCATGCCAGTTAAATTTTCTATTGGCTTGCTCATTTTATTTAAAATAATTAGAATTTTAATTAAAAGGAAAAACTTACCTGAACTTTGTAGTGCTATTGCACCTGCTGCTGTTGATGCCACTTGTGCTACCAAAACTCCATAGCCAAACTTTTTACGCCTGCTGATCTAACAACATAAGTAAGGAACAATGAAAAGCAGGAAAACATAAAATGATAATATTTTATCTACTTGTTACATGTAGAGTTACTGATTCTTCTTCTTAGAATACTAGACATTCAGGTGCCTGGGTGGCTCAGTTGGTTAAGCGACTGCCTTCGGCTCAGGTCATGATCCTGGAGTCCCGAGATCGAGTCCCGCATCAGGCTCCCTGCTCAGTGGGGAGTCTGCTTCTCCCTCTGACTCCTTCCCTCTCATGCTCTCTATCTCTCATTCTCTCTCTCTCAAATAAATAAATAAATAAAATCTTTAAAAAAAAAAAAGAATACTAGACATTCTTTCAGGTAAAGATAATGAGCAGCAAAACAAACTCAGACACCCTAACAATGAGTTAACATTTTTGACAATCTTATTTCAGATATAGGTTCTGGCCCCAGCCTTAAAATTAAGTAGATTTTTGCCTTGAAAAGTCACTTCTCTCTCTAGTTCTAAGTCTCTTCATACATAAAATAAGGGACTTTGACCAGATGAAGATTAGCATGCCTTCCAACTTTTAACTTTTATTATTTTATTCCTTAGGTTAGCTCTTCAATAATAAATTTCCTCATTAATAAATCTATATTGACTACGAGTTGAAATATACTTGTAAATAATAAAAAAACTTTAAAAAATAGTATCTTCTCAATGGTAATTATTTTTAGAGGAAATGTGATTTTTTTTCCTAAGGTAATTATATTTATATATATATATATATATATATATATATATATATATTACACACACAAAGAATCCTCATTAACACACAGGTTTCTAAACAGTGTTGTAGAAGACCCTGGATAATCTGTTATGTCACAAAGAGAGTATTATACATATATTCATGATTAAGTACAAAAGTATCACTCTTGGCAGAAAACAGAATAAGGAAATAATAGACATTAAAAAAATATTCCTCCTCAGATCTTAGTTATGACCAGGTTGGCTAATAAAATGGTTGACTTCTAAACAAAGCTAACCATTTACAATTCATATTTTTTTGACATTTCATTAAAAGGATCTGTTTTAATCAAATTTTAAAAATATAACTGTACATTCAGTTTTGAGGGCAAAAAAAAAGTAGAAAGGAACTAAAAGACCATGGGAAAGAATTAGATTTCTTCAATTTTCTGCTATTCATGTCTTAAGTTTGCCGTCCTTTTCTAATTTTATTACTCATATTTTCCACTTTCCTTAATTTACCATACATTAGTTCTGTAGTGAGATGACACAGAGGTACAGAAATACGAATGTCTTTTTCCTGGCTTCCCCTCTTCCATAAAAACTGAAAAAACACCTTACTCATCAGTCATCCCCCATTGACCCTGCTGATTTTGATACGAGCAGCCACAGGAGCCTCCCAAATTCACATTAAGTACTGAAAAGGAAGAGGCAAAGAAAAACTTCAGAGAAGTCAGAGATCCTTTATTAAATTAAGAGTTAGCTTTCAGGAACACTGTTAAAGACAAATTTGAGCTCTAGTCTTACTGCTTTCAGTAACTAGGTGTGTGAGCATTCACAGATCATTTAACAAGCCTGGGTCTCTACTTTCTCTTCAGCAAAATTAAGGAAATGGCCTAGTGGCTTTCTTACAAGATACCAGAGAATCTAAATTTTCCAAAACAAGTCCTGAATAACATAAAACACCATTAAAGTATTGCATCATATTATAAGGTTGTGAGTTACTGAGAACAGGGAACAGTATCTTCTATTATAACCATCAGTGTGGTACAAAGAAAGACTAGATTTTTTTTCATATTCATAAATGTTTAAACAATGACATCTAGTCCTAGATATATTATCACAGTAGCAAAAGTTATGTATGCATAGTCTCAAGCATCTGATGAGAAAGAAAAATGTCTTTGAATTGCTTGAATATTTTCAAAAATGTGAAAAAAAAAATAAAAATCCAAATGGTTAACTAAGTACACAAGGAGATTCAAACTCATCAGCAGAGAAATTCATATTAAAATGACAAATTCATTTATGTAAACTTAAAACTCCCAAGAAACTTAAATATTTACTATAGTCTGAATGTTTGTGTCCCTTCAAAATTCATATGTTGAAATCCTAATCCCCAAAGGTGATGTAGTAAGTGGGACCTTGATTAGATCATGAGGTGGAGAGTCCCCAAGAATGGGATTAGTACTCTTACAAAAAAGACCCCAGAGAGCTCCTTAGCCCTTATCCATGTGAGAACATAATGAGACATGTATGACCAGAAGAGGGCCCTCCCCTGACCACACTAGCATCCTGATCATGGACTTCCAGCCTCCAGAACTGTGAGCAATAAATTTCTGCTGTTTATAAACCACCCAATCTATGGCATTTTAATAGCCTAAATGGACTAAGACAATATTCAACAAGAAGTATATACTTCCTAGGATATTACACATATTAAACACATTAGTATGGAAGCCTGGGGTAGAGGGATGCATGCCGGGTGAAATGGAACTGTAAATCAGAAATGACAGGGGAATAAAATTAATCAAGACAGACATCTTACAGTATGCCATAAACTGAGGCATGTAAATAATTAGGTTCTCTATACTTGAGATCCATTTAAATAAGAACAATAAAAACATATCTGCACATACAAGCCTAATATCATAAACCCATGAACTAATGTTCATATGTTTTATTTGTGAAGGGATAGTCATGGCCCTCCCTCATAAACTGCTAACTCTTCACAGGCAAAAACTCTAAGTTTTTGTGTTTTTACAGACTTAGGCAAAGGCAGGAAATTAGAACTGAAGAACAAATAAAAAGGTATTTACAACCTGGTAACCTAGTAACATCAATATACAACAGATGCCAGAAACAAAGAAGACACTTTTAAAAGCATACATATGACTCTAAAAAGCCAAGAAGTTCAGAGATGTTTATACTATCACACCAAAAAGCTGAATATACCTCATTGAACATACCTCATTGAATATATCTCACTGAACATCTGAGAAAGGACTAAATTATACTCTACATTTCATTTAACAGTACCAGTAAAATCTCTCTACAAGTATTTTTTAATGTGAGGACTAAATTCTTATTAACATGTACATTTAGACCCAATGAGGTTTCTCCCTCTCCTGAAATTCCACCCAGTTTTAGTGTAACCAGATGTTCATTATATTTATAACACATCTGGATGGTTAACTATATTTTTCAATTCCATCTGGTTGCTTCCCATCCTGTAAGCATATCCACAGATAGAAACATCAACTCTAATGCTTTCCTGAAAAAAATATCAAGTTAAATATTACAATGTTATATGGCTTTTTAATTGAGGTTTAATAACCTCTTCATGCAGAGAAGACGGAATGATATTCTTAATGGCTTTTACAGCAACAAAAATTCTTTTTGCCTGCAGCAGATGGTAATTCATACCTGTAATTTTTTTGCATATTGATTGAACATAAACGTCACACATTCGTTGATGGCACCTGTTCTTTGAAGAAATAGTAGTCCTTTGGGAGTGGCAGCAAAATTTAGTAAATCATCTAACAAATTCTCTTCCCAAGCCACACTGAAACAGGTAAAAAGAAAGGTATGCATTTCTTTATTACATTCAAAACTGAAAAGAAAATATTTCAGCTTAATACTGCTGGTAACCTTATAGAGCACATATTGATGGCTATGTATTCAGTTTAAAAAATAAGATAAAAAGTATGGTTTCTTTGATATTGAGTTATTATTATACTTTCTAATCCAATAATTTTAACTTTAATCAAATATTAACTATAGGTGTCAGCATTTTTATTAAATCTAGGTTCTCTCATCTTCACTTTAATTACATTCTCTTCTCCTACCATAATTCTGCTGGGCCTGGAGTCCCCAAGTCCCAAATCTCCATTATTTCTATACTTTCTTTTCATTACAGAGTATCTGTCTTCCAACTTTCTAAAGCATATCAGGTACAGTAGCTTTATTTTCATAGGTTTTTAATTTTACTTTTGGAAATGATATTTTTTTCCTCAAAACACTTTTAAAAGGAAGGCCACTAACATTCTTCAGAGAAAAAGTCTGAAACATTCAGAAGACACCATTAATAGAAGAGTCAGAGCTGGAAACATGGAAATGTAGGAGGGGATATGAGCACTTCATTCAGAAGTACCAAAAGGAGAAAATGTACTACCTACTGGATAGTCCTAGTTGTCTGGAAAGAAACTGGATATAAAAGTAGGCCAAAAACCAATATCTACATGTATAGTGAAACTGTGAGTATGGAGATGTGTGCCAATACCCTCCCCACTAAGGAAGTGTTAGAGTCTGTTTTGAAAAAGACTGTAAAGAAATTTGAAATCCAGGACTTTTCTAATCAAAACAAGAATGATTAGTATATATTTTGACACATATCCTCTATGCCAATCACAAAGCAATGGCCAAAGATATAACCATGTTTAAATAACAAATTCCACCATGGACAGAGAACAGAAATACAAAGAAATGGAACTCTATTTTTAAGGTAAATGGAGACAATGGAAACCAAATTTAGTTCCAGTAGGATATAAAGGACTAACAGAATTACATATGAGACAAAAGACCAGTATTAGGCTCACTGCTTTAGACCCAGGACTGGGTAAGACTAACAAAAATAATATATATTTAACTGATTTAAAATAAAATTTATATATTTAAAAAAATATCACATATAACAAAATGCTTACATATGTATAACACAGGCTCTATAAGTGGGACTTTGACAAGCCATAAGCCTAGGGCAACAGGAAGACACAGACAGATCCTCATTTCTAGAAATGAGCATATGATCAATTTATTTTCTAGTTCTTCAGTTGTATCTGTGATATCTACATCATCACTGACAGAAGCCTCAAAATGCCAATACAATATTTATTTAAAACATGACCATAAAGAGAAAAACCATAAAACTGGACATGAAGAAATGAACATAAAAACATAAGTAGGGAGAAACAGTAAGGGAAGAGGGAAAAAAGTAAGGAAGGAAACAAACAAAAAAATCTCTCAAAAATGAACTCCCAAACTTTAAAAGATATCTAAAGCTAAGAGCTAGCAGAATCAAACTTATCAAATGAATCCATTCCAGCTGAAATAATTTTCAGAAGTAATGACTAAAATAAATTTATGATACTCAAAGGAAGTTTTTAAAATTTTTCTATTAAAACTGAAGCAAAAAGTAAAAGGGAAATAAAAACAGGCACATTTTTTAAAAAGAACCACTGGAAATTTTGGAAATAAAAAAACATAGCCACTTAAACACGTACAAAGATTGACTGGATAGCAGATAAGTAAGAAATAAATGTTTAACAGATGAGACACAGAACACATACTGAAAGGTCTCAACATACATCAAATAAAACCAGTAAAAGAGAAGGAAAGGAATATTAAGAATTTTCTAGATTTGAGGAAAGACACCAGTCCAAAAAAAACACAAAACAAAAACCCAACACAACTAAATCATAAGCTATGAGAGACAAAATATATGACCTATAAGAGAAAGGTGATTATATTAACAGATTCATCAGTTACTACTTATTCCAGAAGAAAATGGAGTAATAGCTTGAAATACTGATGAGAAATAATTACCTATCAAAACTTTTATACCCAGAGAAACTATCAACTACCCTTAACAGTGAGGGTGAGGGGCGCCTGGGTGGCTCAGTCAGTTAAGCGTTGGACTCTTGATTTCAGCTCAGGTCATGATCTCAGGATCGTGGGATTGAGCCCTGTGTCCAGCTCCAAGCTCAACACGGAGTCAGCCTGGGATCGCTCTCTCCCTTTCCCTCTGCCCCTTTTCTCTCTCTCCCTCTCTCTAAAATCTTAAAAAAAAAAAAAAGTCAGGGTGAGACAGAGGGTAGGGAGGCGATGGAGAGAACAGATACACTGAGGGGTGGGTTTGTGGGTTGGAAGGAAAATAGTCATTTTCAGATAGAAAGAGAGTATCAGTTAACTACTCTCAAATCCTTAAAGAATAATTAAAGGAAAACTATTTGGAAACTTAAACATATACTTCATTAGGGGGGAAAAAGGTGAGCCTATGAGAAAGAATGGGCTACAAGTTTCAATGAATGGCAAAAATAATAAATGTCTACAAATTGAATAACTGATTGAAAAGAAAAATTAGGAGCTTCCAATAAAGAACACAAAGTAAGGTTTTTCAAGCAAAGGCAGATTATGGGTTTAACTGACCCTGTACTACATCACAAAAGCTCAACCAACTTAAAAGGATACATATCATTCCATCCAGGTTCTCTGAAAATATAAATTAATTATCTATCAGTCAACAGTCTAAAAAAAAAGGTAGTAGTAAAAATAACTGTTTGAAAACAAGTGTACTGCAAATATTTCATGGATTAAAGAGTAAAATCAAAATAGAAAGTTCTCAAAATATTTAAAAGAGTAAAATCAAAATAGAAAGTTCTTAAAATATTTAAAAGAGCTTAATATGAAAGTGCTACATATAAAAATGTATTAAAATTAGTATGGCTGATGTAGATTGCTTCTCTCACCAACCATTCTCATTTCCCTTTTCATTTACTTTCCTGTACTACAGAAGTGAGGGAAGGAGAGACAATGAAAAGGAGAGGGAGAGAGATGAAAAGAGCATTAGCAAAACCAAAACCTGGTCTTTGCATAAACTAATGCAATAAAGTAGTTAAGGGGGGAAAATGGCCAAAAAATACTAAGACTCAAAAAATAATTACAGCTAAAGAATTTCTTTAATCATACAAGAATACCTTGAACAAGTCAACAAAAATGTGTATGTTTAGATTAAAAAATGTAGTATTTTTAGAAAATATAATCAAATATCTGAAACACAAATAAAAAATCTGAATAACCATTAGCCATTAAAGAAACAGAATTTTAAAGTTTACCCTGACTCCCACCCCCCAAATAAAACAACACAGGCAAGAAAACTTATAGGTTGCATCCCATTCTCAAAAATTACAGAGAATTGACATAATTTATTTTTTCTGCCATGATCTTAGCATTTAATTCTCTTTCAATTATAGAGAAGATACTATTTCAAAATGGAAAATCGAAGCCATTGAATTTGTTTATTGGTGCTGAGATAAAGGCAACGGCAAAGAACACATGGTTTTGTTAGCTTATGAGAACTCCATTCTTTGAATGGTTAGATATTATGGAGGGTTAGACACTTTCATGGAAATTGAGTTTTAGGTGTTTATTTCTTTGAGATCATAGGCTGAGTTTTACAGATTAAACACTCCCCCTACCCCCAACTTTACTTCACCCTCTAGTTTTCTAAAGACCCCTTCATGATTGGTTGGGGCAGATTGGGCACCTTGTTGTCCCTCTGATTATATTCTTCTCTATGGTCACCCTAATGATGATCCCACATAGCTTGTCATCACAATTAATCAACCAAACCAGCATGGTAGAAATTTGAGTTGAGACTGCAATTCAAAGTCTAGATTTAAAAGACACCAATCCCCTATGATGACTATATAAATACTTCTATCTTCTCTGTAGTAAACATCAATAAATGGAAGGATGGAGGAGAAATCTCTAACATATGCTATCAGAAAATATAAGATCAAAATACCTAACATTAGTCTGTCAGAGGCTCAAAAATAAGACTTTTAGCAACTTACTCTTAATTTTACCTTTATCATATCAGTCTTACTGTTGGTGTCATTATTTAGAGACTAGTGTCTAGAGGTAGGAGAAGTGTTACTAATTTATTCACTGATTCAAGAAAGGTATCAGGAAAGGGAGAAGATATTTGCAAATGGTGTATCTGATAAAGGGTTAGTATCCAAAATACATAAAGAACTTATACAACTCAATACCCTCCAAAAAAATATTCCAATTAAAAATGGGCAGAAGACAACGAGAATAGACATTTCATAAAAGAAGACATACAGATGGCTAACAGACACATGAAGAGATGTTCAACATCAATCATCAGGGAAATGCAAATCAAAACCACAGTGAGATATCACCTCACACCTGTTATAATGGCTCAAATGAAAAACACAAAAAAACAGCAAGTGTTGGTGAGGATGCGGAGAAAAAAAGGAACCCTTGTGCACTGTTGGTGGGAACATGAACTGGTGCAGCCACTGTGGAAAACACTTTGGAGGTTCCTCAAAAAATTAAGAATAGATCTACCATATGATCCAGTAATTCCACTACTGGGTATTTACCCCAAAAAAGCAAAAACACTAATTTAAAAAGATATGTACCCCTATGTTTATTGCAGCATTATTTACAATAGCCAAACATGGAAGCAGCCAAAGTGTCCATCATTAGATGAATGAACAAGAGGTGGTATGTATCTATGTGTGCATATATATATATATATACAGTTGCGCATACATACATACACACACACACACACACAATGGAATAGTACTTAGCCATAAAAGAGAATGAAATCATGCTATTGGAAATAACATGGATGGAGCTACAAAGTATAATGCTAAGTGAAATATGTCAGCTGGAAAAAGACAAATACCATGTAATTTCACTCATATGTGGAATTTAAGAAACAAAACAAATGAACCAAAAAAAAGACAAACCAAAAAGCAGACTCTTAACTATCTAGAACAAACAGATGGTTACCAGGGGGGAGGCAGGTGGGGGGATGGGTGAAAACAGGTGAAGGGGTTTAAGAGTATGCTTATCATGATGAGCACTGAGTAATGTATGGAATTGTTAAATCACTATACTGTATACCTGAAACTAACACTCACTGTATGTTAATTATACTGGAATTTAAAAAAAAGAAAAGGAAAAGAAACAATATTAGGAATCTGCTATGTACCTGCATTAGGATATGTTTAGTTAACTAACTGACCCAGATGGTTTTACACTCAAGTTTTACGAAATTATGAAGCAACAAATAATGTCTATCATACCAACTTCTCAACACAAAAGAACAAAAGACATTCCACTCTAAGTGCTAATTTAAATTTGATGATGAAAATGAAATCAACAGTTCTGACTCTGTATTATCAAAAACCCTATTAAATCTTTTGTTTCTAAGACATTAACGTCATGTTGAGGAAACCTCCTTCTCCCCCCAGAAACAAGTTTCCCAGTTTAACACTGCTTGCCCCTCCCCACCTAATCACTTACTCCTCCCATGGAAGAAGGGACTCTGGAGATTTGGAGAATGACCTAAGCATGCCTAGCTAAGCAATGCCTCTCTCTCAGCCTACTTGTTTGTGATCCAGCTACCTGTAGGAAGCACACATTCTGCTCTGTTCTACTATGTAGTTAAGTTTGATCTTAAGCTCTGCCTTAGAGGGAAGCCTATGGCTGTCCACTGCCAATTGTGACAGAAGGGTAAATCTAATTCTTGAGATCTTAGCAAGCCTGTGTTATTCAGTGTTTTGATTTGTTTGACTTCTTTATCACTATTACTTGGTTCACAATTCAGGAGGGAAGGAATGGCATATAATTTATTAGCTCCTTCACACTCTAACTTCAGAATCTAAAAATATTACTGAGAGTAAAATGTATTAACTACATTAATCATGTTTCCTCTTCTAGCCTATTGACCATTTCTTCCACCCGAAATAATGTTTAGTTTTTAGTCAATTAACATATATTCTCTTTAACGTAGCTTAACAACTTCTTATGGAAAGATTCCCCAAGTTGCCTCCCAATGGACCCTGCATGGCCCCATCATATAAATTTAGCATGCTATATACTGCCACATTGTATTTATTTGTATTCTAGAGGACACAATAAGCTCCTTTAAGGCATACAGGTATCCTAAGAATTCTGTCAAAGCACTTGGTCCAATATGAAAATGAATGCATGAATGAAATGAAAAATGACAAATCACAGAAGATCTCAAAGAAAACAGATCTATGAGTGCCTGGGTGGCTCAGTCAGTTAAGCGGCTGCCTTAGGCTCAGATCATGGACTCAGGGTCTTGGGATGGAGCCCACATCAGGCTCCTGGCTTAGTGGGGAGTCTGCTTCTCCCTCTGCCACCCCTGTCCCACCCACCCCTGCTCCTGTGCTCCCCCATCTCAAATAAATAAAATCTTTAAAAGAAAACAGATCTAAAAATTACCTCAAAAATTGCAGAAATTTTCTCCCCTCCTCTCTCATACACACACACACACACACACACACACACACACACAATGGCAATGGATTTAAGTTTATGACAACTATCAGAAAAAAAATTTAGCTGATTTTTAGAGAAGAATTAACTATTTGTTGAACCATCACACTGTTAAGGAAATGAAAAAGGCTTTTTGTTTGACTTCTTTAAACTATGTCTACCTGAAATGTTGATTTTTAAATTTTTCTTAAGAATATCCCTTAAAGTTCTATTATCTGTTTAGTATGCCAACAACTAAGAAGAGAATTCCAGTACATAAGTCACCAGATCTTAATTTTTAAAAAATGTTGTTTTTTTCTCATTAATCTGACTCCATGTCCTATTGGTATTTGTGAAAAAACATGGAGACGTCTAAATTAAAAACCAGTGTAAATACTGATTTTAATTATTTTCCAATGCCAAAATCTAATTAAAATGCATTCCCACACATTTTGAAAAATCATAATTTAAATATAAATAGACTTCATTGGCATTTGAAAACACTTTATTCCTACGGGAACTCCCTAGTTAGCTTTCCAAATCTAGTATTTGAGAATTCTCCACATTTTCGGGAAACATTACAACAGATCCAATTTGTTAACCCAAAATGTAAACACAGGATAAAGCAAGTATAATAAATAATGCTAGATTTAAGGTAAAAGTATGACATGATCTCTCAAGTTCCCCCTACATGTAATTTTCTCTAATCCTATATGTATACAGTTACCTTCCTGTATTTTCCTTTTTAGTTTTTATTTCAATCCCAGTTAATTAACATATGGTATAATATTAGTTTCAGGTGTATTTTTGCTACACCATTCAATTACATTCTCATTTAAATTATTTCAGCAAATGTAGAGAAACAGGTAAGTTTAGTCAATTGTGCTTACATGTTTTGGGATTCCTGGCTTACTGAAGAAACAGAATCCAAACACTTTACTGGAGTAGGAATTCTTTCTGATAGCAAACTTGTCTAAAATACAAGAGATTACATTATTTTTTATAGATAGCATTATTCATAAGATCTCATGATACATTTTTACAGTTGATCCTTAATATAATTAAAATTAAATTACCTTCAAATTTTAAGTTATTTGGTTTTTAATTAAATATCATGTAAAATTATTTTATAAAGGAAGTATATAAATGTGGGGGAAATCAGTGTAGTTCACTGATACATACTACATTTGACTATTGCTACATTATAATCTCCAGTGTCCATAACAAAGCCCCACCTGTCTGTAAAAATTGCTCAGAAATAGCTTCCAAAGAAGAATGTCAGTTTATGCAAAGGTAATTTATCTAAAGCCTCTCCTACCAGAAGAAAAGACTTTGAAGTGCCCAGTTTGGTCCTAGAACTTTGCCCTGAAAATGAGGTGAAGTCATCCTGTACCAAATTAAAAAGCATTATGTTCCTAGAGTACTGTGATGCTAAGAAAGTCATATTTGCCCCAGTAAAAGATTTTAACTGCATTATAATGGTGACTATATTTGAAATAAAGATTTACAGGAAGGGAAAAAAGCTTGAAAATTCTTACCTTCTTCCACGCCTTTGCTATAGACTCATGCAAACTATAAGGAATTAACACTTGTAAGCCTTCACATGTACCATATATTTGACGACACACAGAGATAAAAGCTCCTTTAACCACGGGCAACATTTCCGATCCAGAAAAAATAGAAATATCTTCATCAAGAAGTTTTTTTGAAAACTGGGCAATTATATGAGCACCTGTAGGACTAAAACATGATAGACTAAAAGTGATTCCAAGGTTATAAATCATGACCTCTTAAAGTACTACCAAAAAGTCTAGCCATATCACAAACTTCGCATTTACTTGGCTCCCCTTTGGTTCTCTACCTATTCTCTAACATATCAATATTCCTGTTCCCACACATGTACAGACAAATGTCTAATAAGGAGAACAGTTACAGGAGACTAGAAAAAAGAATACACAGATAGAAAAAAGCAAAACTATACACTGAAAAGGTTATAGACACCATGGGCCCACAGCCATATGTAACTTCACCTGATTGTAGTAAAAACATAATCCTGAGTTCCCAAGCCATTAATAGGATGTAGCTCCTCTATTTCAGAGGCTGGGACACTTTCATAGCAATAATAAATAAGGAAATCATAGTAAATACTTAATATGCCAGGCATTGTTCTAAGTTTTTAGATGTATTAACTCATTTAATTCTTACACTAACCGTATGAAGTAGATATATTCTTCATTTTTTAAAAAGATAAGGAAATACAGTTAAACCTTACAGGAGTTAAGTAACTTAAACAATATCAAATAGCTAGTAAGAAGTGGAGCCAGGACTCAAACCCAGGGTATCTAGCTCCAGAGCAGCACACTTTTAGTTTTTCTGGCTTTAAAAACAAACACAGTAAGCTGTGGATAGGATAGGGTGCCGACTTTCCATGTACCCCTCCACCCATCTTCAACAGTTATTAACATTTTGCCAGTCTTGTTTTATCTATTCCCTGACCTTCCCCTCTGCCCACCTCTACCAGAATACTGTATGCTAAATGCCAGACATCATTTTACCTAGTGTACATCTCTAACTGATTAAGGTTTCTATGTTACATGCCAATACCACAACTAACAAAACATAATTTTTTAATATTATCTGATAATCCACCCATATCAAGATTTTTCTGATTGTCTTAAGGTGTACCTTATAATAGATTTGTATAAATCAAAATTCAAACAAGTTTCACAGAGTGCATTAAGTTATTGTGATCATTTAGGCCCCCTCTTTTCTTATTTACCCATGCCATTAATTTGGAGAAATGACATATTTTCCCTATCCATTCTTTATATGGATAATTGCTTCACCGTGCTGTCATTTAATGTGTTCCTCTACTTCTCCATATTTCTTATAAATTGATAATTATATCTAGAGGCTTAAAGAAAGTCAATTTCTTTTTTCTTGGCCAAATAACTTCATAGGTGGTCGCTGTTGTGTACCTTCTACTGCATCATATCATTAGATACATATCTGGTTGTCCCAATTGTAATGATGCTAAAAATCAACTGGTCAGATGGTATGAGACTGAACTCTCCAGTGGGAAGTCCTCCCCACATCAAGCCTTTTACCTAATGGTTTTAGCATCAATTCATGATAATTTCCTAAATCAACTATTTCATTAGGAGTTATCAAATGATGATTTTCTAGTTATTCTGCATTTATTAACTAAAATTTTTCTATGAAGAACTTTATCCACAGTAACTTAATAGTTATATTAAAATACAGTTTGTACAGGGGTGCCTGGGTGGCACAGTCAGTTAAGTGTCCAACTCTTGGTTTCAGCTCAGGTCGTGATCTCAGGGTCAGGAGACTGAGCCCTGCATTGGGCTCAGCACAGACTCTCCTTGAGATTCTCTCTCTCTCCCTCTGCCCCTCCCACTCGTACTCATGCTTGCACACTCTCCCTCTAATCAACAAATAAATCTTTAAAAAAAAATACAGTTTGTACAGGAAATAGAAAAAAAGATTTTGAACATTTTTAACCAACTTGCAAAATAATGAGTTGGTGTCCTCACAACCTCAATTGGTAATTGACAAGGTGTTTTTTTTTTAGTTTTAGTGTGTTTTTAAAACCATTTTTGCATGCTTTATGTATGTCAATCATTAAAGTCATTTTTTTAATCCTCAAATTATCTACCTTAAACCAGTAGGAGGCCCCTTCTGGTAGCTTGGGGTACTTCTGACACTTTGTCTTTAGTCTTAGATAATTTCCTTACTTTCTAGAATGGTAAGCTATCTCAGGATCACCTTGCATATTTCCTGGCCCAATGTAGAAATAACTACCTTCAAGGATCCCTTCCCCCTTTTTTAGAAAAAACAACAATAACAAAAAAGATATTTAGAGACCACAATCTGGGTGCCAACTCATTGCTAAGGGGTTGTTATTACTTCTAGGCCTCTTCAGTGGTAGTTCTGAGAAAAGCATAAGAAAAATAAATTAATACTTATATTTCCATTATGAATTTAAAATTCAAGTTTAACTTCTTTAATTCTATATTCTAGTTCCTTATGATGCTAATTACTTATTTACTTTATTTTAGAATATGTTCATAATAGTTTCAAAATATATTGATTGCAGTTTAAGATTATTTTGAGAATTTTTTCTTCCAACCTTATGATATATCCCACTAGAAATGTTCAAATCAGGTCACTTGAGGTAATTCGTTCCTCTGCATGGGTAGGTCACTAACTTGCTTGGTAGTTAAATTCACTTATTCCCATTTGTTTGAATTTCTTTGAAATGTGAATTTTTCTTTTTGATTTAACTTTTACATTCAGCATGTAAAACAGCGACACGATTCCAAAGTCAAATCTAGGTACAATGAAGGTATAACCCATATATCTTCCATCTCTACCTCCCTATCCACATGTTTTTCTCTCTTCCTCTAAAACTAAACTTTTCAGTTTACCCTTTTATCACTCCTTTTGAAAAATAACAATATGATTTGGTTTATTCATAGGCCCTTCTATTATATAAAAGGTAGCATTCTAAAACATTCTTTTGAGTTTTGTTTGTTCACAGATATCCTGAAGATAACTCCACAGCAATACATAAAAAAATTCCAGGTTCCTATCGCACAGCTGCTAAGTGCTCCTTTGTACAAACACAATTTAATCAATTAGCCTCTTGTTATTGGACATGTGAGATGATTCCAGTATTTTACCAATATAAATAGTATATTCAGAAACAACCACAGCACAATGGTGATTCAAAAGAAACTGACATTTAATGTCTTATCTGTTTAACTTCAACGTAAGGGAAACTAATTAATCGTTGAACACTACATCAAAAACTAATGAAGTACTATAAGTTGGCTAACTGAACATAATAAAAAATTTTTAAAAATTAAAAAATTAAAAACTTAGAAATACTAATGATTGGGGGAAAATTGACTACATAATTAAATGTCTATAAGCAAAAAAAAAAGAACAATAGGGAAGTAATGAAGAATAAAAAGAAACCTTAGAACTCATGACAAAAGGTTAGTCTTCTTCATTTTACAAAAGATTATTATCTATATAGAAAAAGACTTCCAGTTGAATATGGCAGATTGAACACATACATTCACATCTGCACCCTCTTAAAATACTAAAATGCAAAAGTAAAGGGAATTTTTCAGAAGGCTTTTATAGCTGTCAAGGAGAAAAGAAAGGATGTGACAGTAACGATGTTTTGGAATCTAGAAAGTTGAAAAAAACAAGAAGTAACTCAGGACCTGGAAAAACTGAATGATCAGCCACAATATAGAAAACAGAACACAATTTATCTCATAGAATCTCTCAAAAAGCTCAAATTGGTGATATCAAGTATCTCTGAAATTAGGGGTAGAAGTGGGACTGAAAACAGAAGAGCTGCCTGAAAGTCAACTTAAAAAGAAGTCTGACCAGCTTCCCTTCTACATTCCATATAGCCACCCCCATGTATCTTTTGGAAAGCAGGCAAAGATCAAGAACAGTAGAGAGTACCACAGGGTTAAATCAAAGCTTATACAGTAAAACTTGAAAACCACTTTCTCCACCCAGTAATCTTCTCCCACTAAGCTTATACTCTCTGCAGGCAGCTAGCTATAGGAACCTTCTCGATGGAATCTGACCAGAACAATGACTAAAGAGGTTGATATTATAAGTTCCCAAAACAAATCCATGGCAAGATTCCCCCACAGCAAAGACCACAAGTAACAAGGTCCCATGTTCCTGCATAGTTTTCAAACAGCTATTTACTGACTTTTTAAGTATCTGAAGAAATCTCTAATTTAAAATCGGAAACCAAGACAACAAATAGAAAAATCAATGTGGAAGGAAAAAAGAAAATGAGAAATGAAAACTCTGTATCTTCATGGATATAAGAGAACTTAAAACTCATGAAACAATAGGATAGTAGAATAAGAATGTTCTCTTATAGAAAAAATATAACAAGAAATGCAAACCACAATCTGAATCTAAGGGCTAGAAAATAAAGCTGAGGAAATTTCTTAGACAGTAAAAAACTTTTTTTTTATTTTTTTTAAATTTTTTATTTTTTTTAAAGATTTTATTTACTTATTTGATATAGAGAGAGAGCACAAGCAGGGGGAGCAGCAGAGGGAGAGGCAGAAGCAGGCTCACCAAGCAGGGAGCCCGATACAGGGCTCGATCCCAGGACCCTGGGATCATGACCTGAGCCGAAGGCAGACGCTTAACGAATGAGCCACCCAGGCGCCCCATAGACGGTAAAAAACTTAAAAAGCAAGCTCCCAGAGGGGAGGTCCAAGATAGTGGTAGGAAAACCCTCCTCCCATGGACACACCTAAGCTACATATGATCATTTCCCTGTGAAAAAGATCTGAAAACTAAATGAACTGCTTCCCACAACAAAGGATAAAAGGACCAGATCAAAGCAGGTAGGAGAAACAGAGACACAGTCTCCCAAAAAACACCCCATCTCACGGCATGGCAACACATAACAAGAAGGGATCTCACCAGACAGATGCTTCTCCCAGAGGAGTAAAAGGTTGGTACCCCACATCAGGGACCCCACTCCTGGGATCTACACCAGAGAAATAAACGCACAGAACACCTGGCTTGGAAAACCAAAAGGTCTAACATCCAGGGTGTCTAAAAGAGCTATAAGGAAACAGATTCCCCTCTTGAAGGGATTGTTTGTGGTCTTGCCCCAAGACCCAGCAAAGAAACAGTAGTCTGGAAAGGCCCCTAGACTGTATGTATGTAAAGGAGACTCATTTGCTAATGTGGGGGCATTGGCTGGAGGGGCAGGGGACAGTTGAGATGCTCTTCAGAGACAGATAAGGATGGTAGATGCCACAGATGCACTCTCCACATGGCCTGCTAGCAGGGCAGGGCTACCATCACCCTGCTGGTACAACAGGGGTGAGCTTTTGTGGCACTTGCTGAGGCCAGGTGGAGAGCTGCAGTACTCCCCAATTCCCCAGGTGGAACATGGAGTGTGAGCTGTCAGGGAAGTCTCCTATTCCCAACCTAAAGCCAGCATACAGACAAGGCACTCTCCCCCTCCATTACAGAAGCCCATGGAAACATACACTCAAGACATTTTCCTGTTGTCTTTCTAAAGCTGGTGAATGTGCCCTGTTCTCTACACCCTCTAGCTGCCTTGCTCAAGCCAGCAGATGGCACAAACCACACCCCTTCATCACCTGGCCCTGAGCTCTACCAGAGTGTAACAACTGGAAAGACCATTCTTGACAGGCCATCAATCCCAGGGCCCTGCACCAACAGCAGACTGAAACAACCCCAATCTTCCTATAAAAAAGGCCTATTTACTTACCCTACAGCTTTAGCCTCAGGAACAGGCTTCAAGTTTCCCACACATCAAGAGGCTAAGAGGGCCCTCCAAGGAACAAAAGCAGGAAAACATCATCCTTGCACACCCCCTTGGCCTCACTACAGCTGGATAAGACTTCCCAGGGAAGATCTTATACACTCATCTGGAACTCAGATTTTTGTAACTCACACCCAGGAGAAACCTCCAGATCTGGTCTAGAGGCCAGCAGTGATTACAAATGTGACCCCACAGGACTAAATATATTTGCATACTTTCAAAGCTGTGGCCTGAAGGTCTGGCTTCTAATCAGACTGAAACTAGGTGCTAAATGAGTTTCCTCCCCTTGGATCATGGACAGGCCTTGGTAAGCCCTCAAAAAAGGCGGCATATCAATAATAAATCAGACAGTTGAGATAATCACAAAGGTTTGAAAGACAACCAAGAGCTAGGACAAGGTTGAACTAGAGATTCATCACCTATTCAAGGCCACTCTTTGAAGACTGAGAAAAGTACCTGCATTTTACCTAATACATAGAAAAAAACAGAGTTAAGACAAATTAGGAAACAGAAGAAACAAACAAAAAAAAGACAAAACCTCAGAAAATGATATGGAGATAAGAACCTAATTAAAAAAATTCAAATTAATGGTCATAAAGATGCTCACTGAACTCAGGAGAAGAATGGATAAACACAGAACCTCAATAAAGAGATAGAACATTTAACAACGTATGTTATTGACAGATCCAGCATGACTATATGAACTGAACATCATTAACCAACTAAATATGACTGACATCTATAGAATATTTCAACAACAGCAGAATATACATTTTTCTCAAGTTCACACAAATATTCACCAAGATAGACCACATTCTGAGCCGTAAGATACCTTAAATTAAAAAGAATGCACTCTCAGACTCATAAATACATAGGTCAAAGAAGTCTTTAGGGAAGTTTAAAAATATTTTGAAGTGAAAATGAAAACACAAATTATCAAAATTTATAGGATGCAGCAAAAGCAGTGCTTAGAGGAAAATTTACAGCACTGAATGTATATATTAGAAGACAGATCTAAAAATCAATAATCAAGGCTTCCACCATAGGAAATTAGGAAAAGAACTAAAACCAAAGGAAGTAAAAAATAAAAATTAAAACAGAAATCAATGAAGTTAAAAACAAAACCAAAATCAGCAGAGGAAAAAAAAGTTGGTCTTTTTAAAATATCAATAAAATTGATAAGCCTCTGGCTAGGTTAAAAAAGAAAAAAAAAGACGACAAATTACTATTATCGGAATGGAAAGAGGGACCATCAATTCTGATCCAATGGACATTAAAAGGGTAATAAAGGAATATTATAAACAATCTATATCCACAAATTTAATCACCTAGAAAAGTGGACCAATTCTATGAAAGACACAATTTGCCAAAACTCACAAAAGAAGAAATAAACAATCTGAATAAGCCCATATCTAATATAAAAATTGAATCAATTAATAATCTTCCAAAACAGAGAACACCAGGCCCAAATAGGTTCACTAGTGAATTCTATCAGACATATAAGGAAGAAATTATACCAATTCTCCACAATCTCTTCCAGAAAACAGAAAGCATTTCTTCTGCTTCTGACTCATTATGAGGCTTTCATCAGAATAAATCAAGACCAGATGACGATATTACAAAAAATACAGACTGATATCTCTCATGAACATAGACACAAAAATCCTCAAGATTAGCAAATCAAATCTAACAATGTATAAAAAGAATTGTATACCACAACAAAATGGGATTTATTTTAGGTATGCAATGCTGAGTTCAATATTCAAAGATTAATATAATCCATCACAATCAGTAAGATTAAAAAAAAACACTTATTGTGGCATTATTTATGGAGTCAAAATCCTATCTAGGATAGGATAGGATAGGACAGGATAGGACAACCTGATATCCATTAATAGGGGAAAAGTTTAAAAATATTATGGTAAAGCCATATCAAAGTACTATGGAGCTATTAAAAAGAGTGTTTCATTTTGTGCTCATTTGGGAAGATACTTATGGTTACACATAAGAAAACTAAATATCATATATGATGCTATTTTTGTGAAAAGGAAACAAAAATTCTATGATCATGAATATATGTTTGATAGATCATTATAAGTTCAGAGAAAGTCTAAAAGCATAACCAAAATGTTACCACTGGTAACAGCCAGGAGATAGAACTAAGCGAGGGTAGAGAAGGAAGATGGAAAAGTTAGCTTTTCCTTTGTGCACCTTTGTGTGCTTTGACTTGAATCAATCGTGGGTCGCTTTAGAAGACTGAAAGAGCCCAAGAAGCAAAAACATCCCATCTAGAGTGAACCCTCCTATTCTCACTCTGAAGTTGCTCACATCAAGGCCTAATCTGCCTGCATTGTCCATAATTCTGGTTACTACTTCAACCTGAAATCATCTAATACATTGTTAGTGGCTGATCAGGAACCTAACTATCTAGAATAGTTATCTTGATTTTCATTATTAACATATTGTATGACATTTTGGAAACTTTTGAATCAGATCGAGAAAATGTGCTAAAAATTCCACAAACTTAAAACACAGACATATACCTTTTTTCTTCAGAAGAGTTCATATTTTCTCCATAAAGTAGTAAGGTAAGTCCTTCTTCTACAGATGCAATTCTTGCCAAAATATCAGCTATGTGAATTAAAGCTGTTTCAGAGCAATTTGGAGCAGTCTGTACATTAAAAAGATAACAAACCATATAATTTTATGACATGCTAACATTTCACAGACTAAAATTTAAGGGTGGTAATGTAGTCTAACAAAATTATATTACCACAATAAAAAGAAAGTTAATGACTGTTTGGCTATGAAGTATGTCTGAATTAAATGTGTCACTATATTATATTCACTTACCAGCACAGTTGATGAGGCAGATACATATAGACTTTTTGTCCAAACCAGTTATTGTTTATTAAGACAGTTGAGAGAACTGCTGTTCTCATTATAGCTTTATATATAATTCTGTTTGACAAATGCAGTAGCTCCTCTAGATCCATCTTGCCCTTTACTTCCCACTCACCAGTTCCTGAATATCCACCCTAATTTTATTATACATGATTTCTAACACACTGCCATCATTTCTAAGGAAAACCATTCCTTTGTGCAATTGGTTGGGTCATGAATTATAGGTCTGAGTAAGAACAACCAATTCACGGGCTGACGAATAACCAATGATGTCATCTAATGGGGGGTGAACAAATCATATTTCTTTACTTTTAAGTGGAAATACTAAAAATATCTTTGCCAGCATATAGCAAATTAGTACAAGGCAATTACTAAAAACTAGAGTCATATTAATGCTGGAGCCCATCTAGAAGCCTAAGTCTACTAAAGTTCCTGTTCTTTCTGGGGCCTACTTATTTGTCTATACCTGCATAGCTGCCAATACACATACTGTCTATAAGAAATCTGAGTATCTATACTTTGAAACCAATATGGCCTAATAAATTCAGTGAGTTAGCTTTATAACTAATGAGTCAGGCATATTCACCTGAATATTTCCTTATTATATTAGGCATTATGATACAGTCGATTACTTTCACATTAAATACCTTTCTTAAAACAACTTCTCTACCTGGAATACTTTCCTTCTCCCATATATTTGCTTTTTTTAAACCTTTCTATTCCTCATCCAGTATTTTAAGAGTCTGCCTTTCCTATTAGAATAGGTTCCTTCAGAAGAAAGTATAAGTCTTAATCTCTTCTATATTTCAAATCCCTAGCAAAGCACCAATGATACAGTAGTGGTTCAATGGGTGATGCTGAATGCTTTAAGATTAAATACAGAATGTCTATTATGTGCCAGAGGGCTGTTTCTTACACTCAAAAATAATTCCAGCATAATTACAGAAGTAGATAACATGGGAATATGCAGAAATAAACACCTAACTTTCCCAGGAAGAACTAGGACAAATTTTCAGAGAAAAAAAAAAACAAACAAACTATAGTCTGAAGAAAGGAATTTTTCACTTAGACCAAGACTTCCCAGGGTGAGGGAAAAGTATGCAAACATAGGGAAATATTAATAGCCTTGTCAAAAAATGCAAATAATCTGTTATAAGTGAAATACATGGGAAAAAATGGGTAGGATACAACATGAAAGTTGATAAATTTCAGACTTTTTACCTAGACATTTATCCAGCAAGCAACAAGTAGGAAAGTATTGTGATGGCTTTAGTGACAATACAGAGGACAGGCCAGAAAGGTGAAAGACTGGAAAAAATAAGAAAATCATTTCAATATTCCAAGCAAGGAATTATCAGAGCTTAAATAAAATCAGTAGCAGTAGGGATTAAAAGACATACATGGATTTTAGAGATACATAAGAGAAAAAGTCTATAGGGCTTAATTACAAATGGAATGAAGAAAATGAGGAAGAAGTCTAGATGTACAGCAGTCCTAGTCATCACACGGGGAAAGGGGAGCAAGCTTGAAGAAGTGGAGCAAGAGAAAAAAAAAAAAAGGAAAGAAAAGAAAAGAAAGAAAGGGGGCGCCTGGGTGGCTCAGACAGTTAAGGGTCTGCCTTCGGCTTGGGTCATGATCCCAGGGTCCTGAGATCAAGCCCCACATGGGGCTCCCTGCTCAGCAGGGAGCCTGCTTCTCCCTCTCCCTCTGTCTCTGCCTGCCGCTCCCCCTGCTTATACTCTCTCTCTCTTTCTGTGTCAAATAAAAAATAAAAAAATCTTAAAAAAAAAAAAAAGAAAAAAAAGAAAATGAAAAAGAAAAAGAAAACACTGACAAACCAAAAACTACTATTTTGAAAATGGCATTTGATTTGCTCATGGAGTAACTCAAAAAGGTGTTTAGCAGGCATCTAAAGACAAATCTAGAGTTGAAGAGATCTAAACTTGGATGTTAACTATACATCTAATCTTCACGACTGGAGGGAATCACCTAGGAAAAACTCTCTTCCGAAAGAAAAGAGTGAACCAGGTCATGACTCACTGAAGACAGCAGGGACCTGGAAGGGGAGCCCTCATAGGTGACAGGGAAAGAATGGTTAGAAAGGGAGGGCAAAAAATATACAGGAACTTAGGAAAGCCAGATAAACAATTTTAGAAGTTGTCTATAATCAGGTAGATAATAGTCTGAAAAGTGGTCACTAGTTATAGGTGTAGGAAGTTACAAGCAACAGCAATCAATGATGTGATGGAGGTAAGATCAAAATGCAATGTTTTGAAACATGACAGAATAGAGGGAGACAGGAAACAATGGCAGTCTTCCATAATTAATTGTTAAGAAGATCAGATATTAGGTGGTAGCTAAAGATGTGCATTGGATGATCAAGGGCTTCTCTCATCCCAACTATGAGACAGATTCAGGCATATTTACAGATAAAGGAAAGAAGCCACAAGAAGATAAAAAGTTAAAGATATATGAAAGCAAAGACAAACAACAGTTCTGAAACAAAATCCAAGAGCACATTTCTCAACTCTGGTATGAGGTTCATATTTCATATTACCATTGACATTAGGGCATTCTATTATATTAAACTGTATTAGGAATTCTATTGGTCCTTCTCTACTTATCTTCCTAAGGCTAACCATAAAATCAAAATTACATCCCCTTAATTTCCTACAATTCCATACTTTGCACCACATTCACATAAATGCTTAATGTTTTCTGAATGAGCAATAAATAATGACTATATGATGGGATGAACAGTTGCCCAGCCCATTGAGGAGTGGGCACAGGAGATGGAAACAGTAAAAACACTACAAAACACAGACATGGAAAGGCAAAACCTTTAGCCTATTAAGATTTAAGTCATTTCCCCGAAGCTTAAGTCATAGAAATGGACAGAGAGCAGTGCTAGTAGTGGTACCAACTCTGCTACCTGTTAAATGTCGGACCTCGAGCAATCCACTTCTTTCAGCCACAGTTGTAAGGATTAAATTACATAATGCAAAGGAACAGGCCATACAAACTGTAAAGAGATATGAGCATCCCAGTTCTGAACATATGTGTAGGTTTTTTTTTCTAAAAAACTGGTTCTTCATATAAAACAGAGCTGACTCTTCAGAAAAATAATGTAAAGGCTATAAAATTACTGTTAAAACAAATAATAAAATTCACAAGATTAGATTTGCAAGACAAATACCTTAATAACTTCCCTCAATCCTTACACCTAAGCCTGACTAGAAAATTATGTTATATGTATTCTCTCCCTACACTGTCAATAACAAATAAATCAACTCACTACATAAACTATGATTTAACATTAAATAAAAATCGAGGGTCAGCATAAAATACATTCATATGTGGAAAGATACTGTAATAAATATTTCAAATACGTCAAATTTAAAAATAAAGTCCCATTGAATATTCCCAATACCCAATTAAAAAGACTCTCTTTAATAAATACCAACCTTAGTTCCTTTCATTAAATTATGAATAGGCTGAAGAAGTGCCTCAATCACAGTGTTATTATATAAGCATTCGACTGCACATTCTTTTTGATCACAGAGTATCCGAAGAACTTCAGTCACCATACTTCCAGGAGAGTAATTATCTGATAAACAAGTACTTTTAGATATTAAAATTTTAAACATTAAGAACTTAATATATCTTATTTATGAGTTAGCCATTGCTGTTCTAAAAAGATCAACATCAAAGTTAAATAGTTTTAAAAAAAAATCACACAACGCAATGCCCAAAGGATGAGGTATTGTCAAGTCATAACCTGAAACCTAAGGGGTGATCAATTAAGCTCAATATATACTCAAGTTAATTTTTAAAAAGTAAATGACAAATCTGAATGCTGAGAAACAACAGAAGATCATTCACTGTTTGACATTAAGTCACTGCTAACAGTGAAGATGTGATTTGAAGCAAATTTACAACTTTTCTCTTCCCAGCAAACACTTGTATTCACTTTTTCTTCTTTCTTAAAATATGTACTTGGGGCACCTAGGTGGCTCAGTCAATTAGGCATCTGACTCGATTTCAGTTCAGGTCATGATCTTGGGGTCAGGAGATAGAGCCCCACTTCGGGCTCCAAGCTCAATGGTGAGTCTGCTTGAGATTCTCTCTCTCCCTCTCCCTGTGCCCCTCACCCCCCAGTCACACAGGCACTCTCTCTCTCAAATAAATAAATAAATCTTTAAGAAGAAAAAAATATATATGTATTCAAGTGTCCAGCCTAGTAGAAAATGAAAGTAAAACAAAATGATGGCTAAAAAGGCAGAAAAGGTAAAACCTCCTTTTAAGACTCACACACAACTTGTATCACCATAAAACTGGTGAAATGAATGAGCATTGTAAAAACTTTCTTTCAAAATATATACGGGAAAACACAAATACAAATAAATGTAACACAGGGAATAGTCACTAAAATAAGTGTGATATTTTTGGTTTCATAAATCAATAGATTTTCAGGTTATATTACTTAATATACTCACAAAATAGTGTTCTACAAGAAACTAAGGAACCAAAAGTTAGCAGCTTAAGGTTGTAAGCTATAATACTAAAAGTTAACACCAAAATTCTTAATTTAGGTTACAATATTCTATACTCCATGAACACACTAAGACCTCAAGTCAATACTTGACAAAAAGAAAATGGAGAAGAAAAGTTTAGTGATTTTTTCCAACCAGTTCCAGACCCTGTTTGCAATGAGAGATACTACCGATGAGCATATGGCCATTCATTCATTCATCCATTCTTTTATCTATTTTTGAGTGCCTACTATGTGCCAGACACTGTGCTAGGCACTGTAACTAAGACACAAAAAAAATTAAAAAACAGTCCACTAGATGGTAAACCAAGACACTGGCAAATAATTATAAGAAGGAACATTTTTTTTTTTAATCAACACACCTCATATTCTTTTTTTTCTTTAAATTTTTTATTGTTATGTTAATCACCATATATTACATCATCAGTTTTTGATGTAGTGTTCCATGATTCATTGTTTGTGTATAACACCCAGTGCTCCACACAGAACGTGCCCTCTTTAATACCCATCACCAGGCTAACCCATCCCCCCAACCCCCTCCCCTCTAGAACCCTCAGTTTGCTTTTCAGAGTCCATCGTCTCTCATGGTTCATCTAAGAAGGAACATTTTTAACAAAGGAAGCACCGTATGTTATAGGAACATATCACAGGCTGACATACGCTACATGTTTATACATAGAAATGCTGTAAAGGCAGAAAGAAGTTTGAGAGCCATTGTTAAGACTAATAAGTTGTTATAATTACATAAATAAAACATACTGATTGATAGATGCATATAGCATTAATATATATGGCCCAAACTATCTTTTTTTCTTTGATTCACTTGAATTCTTCTCAGAATTTTGCCAGCATTTCTACAGTCATTTCCAGGTTTAGAACACTATGAGCCTATAGATTATGGGATTGTTTTGTTATTAAAGTGTTTTACTTTGTAAACTTTCATTGATAGTCAAAGGAAAAAGTGTAAGTTATCTTTTAAATGTAAGTATTATAGACCACTTTTTTATAAGCCAGTCAACAGCTAAAGACTAAAAGTTATATTGAAAAACATGAAGTTTTTGCTTTTGCTTTTTTCTTTCATTAGAGAAGATCTGAAGTTTTAGATGTGAGCTAAAACAAGCAGGCTGATCAAAACATCAGGCAAGTATAAAGCACAGAAAACAGCAAGAAAGAAACATTAGTACCTATCAATCAAATTTCCCTTAGTAGCATTTCTTAAGAACATCCTGATCTTAAGAACAACATTAAAATTCTCAGAAAAATCAATTCTACATAAAAAGGTAGTAAATTAGGAACATCTTAAAACATCAATGAACAAAATTAAATTTCATGGTTTACTTCCAGGACCAATGTAATTTGTTATGAATAATACTGCATCTTAGGAAACCTCTTTACCAAAACTAGGTCAGTCACTCAAAATGTCTAGACAATGGAATATTAAGTATTTTTAGATGTTTTCTATTACACTATTTAAAACAGAAGCAGAATTACCTAAATGTGCAGCTGATGTCATCTTTGGACAACTTGGTGAGTAACAGATAAGTTGGGTAAACAGAACCAGAAGATCTGTAAGGGATACTAAATCTTTGAAAAGGAAAAAAGAAAAAGATTATTTTCTAGTATACACTTACAACTTAGAAAAATTTAACTGAGCTTCCCATCCTCCTGAGTTTTCAGAGACTGTGGTAAAATTAGGAGAAGGGAGCTGGAACCCCAGACAGAAGGCCCCAGAAAAACAAATTAGACATGGGAAGTTAAAAGGTGGCAAGGACAATAACACAGCAGGTGCTATGCGCAGGTGCAGTTTTACCACTTATGGTGGACCCGTCACTTCATATAAACCTACAGCAGGAAGATCTAGGAATCTCATTAGGACCATGAGTTTTTTAGGAATGATAAAATTCAGCTTCATATGTTGTTCCAGCCAACTTATCTATATAGAACTGTAGAAAAGGTATCAAACTTTTTCAAGGAAATATTTGGGCTCAGTGGCCAAACTGTTTCTGTTAAAAATACTCAATTATGATGTTGTAAAGTAGCCATAGACAATTTGCAAATGGACAAGTATAGTGGTCTTCCAGTAAGACTTTACATACACCAAAATTTTAATTTTATTCCACATGTCACAAAATAGTTGTAATTTTTTCAAGTAACTAGCTCACAAGCCATACAAAACAGTACCAGATTTGGCCCATGGGCTGCAATTTACCAACCCCTGCTGCAGAAAATTTTCATCAAGATTCTGGTAAAAATGCAGGTGAAACTTAGCAGTAAATGTTGACTTATGCTAAAAATAGTAGAACAAAGTTCTCAAAACTGAGTTTTGAGATGACCTATGACATTCGTCAGGCCAAAAGGTCGATGTTAAAAGTCAACATAAAGTGCTAAATTACAGATGATAGACATATAAACTTCAGTTCAATACATGCAGTAACATTACAAGCATTTATTAATCTTTCTATCTCTGTAAAGTTCAACAGTATCCTATAAAATGGCAGCTCTTTTCTTGAAAGTCCATTCTCTAAGTGCTCGTTATGCCTAGAATTACGTGACCACAGGATATATCAGTACATAAAACAGTTTTTGTTGAGGAGCTCACAACCAGAGTAACTGAGGAGAAAACCTTAAGTAAAACAACTAGGAAACAGTACAAAAGTATTCAAAATGAAGACACTCCATAATAGGATTGGCAAACCATAGCAATTATGGCCTAATTTTGTAAGGCTCGTAAGCTAAAAATGTTTTGTTTTACACTTTTAAAGGTGTATATGGGGCACCTGGGTGGCTCAGTCGGTTAAGCATTTGCCTTCGGCTCAGGTCATGATCCAGGGGTCCTGGGATCTAACCCTGCATTGGGCTCCTTGCTCAGTGAGGAGCCTGCTTCTCTCTCTGCCTGTTGCTCCCCCTGCTTGTGCCTCTCTCTCTCCCTCTCTCTCTCTGACAAATAAATACATAAATAAATCTTTAAAAAAAATAAATAATAAAGGTGTGTAAACTGTGTCAAGGGTCTCTCAAACCATACCCAGATTCAGTGGTTCACTTGGAGGACTCAACATACAGCTGTGCTCCCAGCTATGGTATTTCACAACAAAAGATACAAAGCAAAAGCGTACGAGGTGAAGTCCAGGTGCAAACGTCCAAGGGTTCTCTTCCAGTGGAGTCACACAAAATATACTTAATTCTTCCAGCAACAAGCTGTGACAACACATGTAAAATGTTGGCTACCAAGAAGCTCCTTAGAGACTCAGTGCCCAAGCTTTTTACTGGGGGCTGATGATGTAAGCACACTCTGCATAGCACGTACCAGGATTCCAGACTCCCGGAAGGAAAGCAAGTATTTAGTATAAACTACATTGTGTGTACAGATAGTTTAGGTAGGCACAGTGAACCACTCTTATCGGTTCTGGGAAGAGTGAGAAATCCAAGTTCCCAGATGCCAGCTAGTGCAACCTTGCAAGCAGGCTTTCCTAAGGATAGCAGTCTCAGGCCTGCTGTGATAACTCTTTTGCACACATGAGCACATGAATACACAAATACACAGGATATGCAACAGAGACAGTATGTAGCCCACAAAACCAAAAATATTTACTATCTGACACATTACAGAAAAAGTTTGCTGGTCACTAGACTATAGTCCTATATAGACTTAAAGTTTTAAGGGAGGCAAAAAAGTAATAGCATGTGCTGAAGTTTGACGGGGAAAACTTTAAAAATAGGGCTTAGGGTAACATAGTAATGTTATCAAATGGTACAGGGCTTTGCAGTTTATAAAACAGCATTCTGAAACCACATCTCTAATCATCACAAAAACTGTGTGAGCTCAGTATCACTGATATTATTCCATCTTTGTAGATTAAAAAAACAAGCAATGGTTAAGTGAGTTGCCCAAAGGTCATAGCCAGTTTATAAAGGAACTAGAATTTAAACAAGGTCTTCTAGTTCTGAATCCAGATCTGGATCGTTCAATATGTCTAGGATTTTGAAAGACAGGGAGAAATAAGGAAAGCATTAAAGGCTGGATGAATAGAAAAAACTAGAATGTAGGGGAAAAGCACATACTGATAAAAGCAAATGTAATACTTAAAGGTATACAAGCCATCAGTAGACTAAAAGGTATGTCACTAAGTATCCTAGAAGAGACCATGCAAAATCTCCAAAGTTTAGTAATTCATAGCACATTAACCTTACCAAGCTGAACATATTCGTTTCTCCTAATTGTACTTACCTTTTCTATTCTTCAGCTTTATGGGAAATAGCCGTCTGCCTTGTGTATAGATCAATAACCTTCCTAAAAGGCACAGTGAGTGAATGAAATAAATATATTGTAATTCTTGTCCTGAGTAGTAGAAGGTTTTCTGTTTGTTCCCTTAAAAGAGAAGCAAACAAATATTTATTTTAATGCGATATTTTAGATAGTACCTATCTTCATTCCCTTCCAAACATTAAACAAGGTTGCAGTCTATAATGAAGACTCTGTTGGTGTTTTAAAAAAAAAAAAAAAAGTTAATTATCTTTCTTAAGATCCTATAACACCTAGGGGCATCTGGGTGGCTCAGTTGGTTAAGCGACTGCCTTAGGCTCAGGTCATGATCCTGGAGTCCCGGGATCGAGGCCCACATTGGGCTCCCTGCTCAGCAGGGAGTCTGCTTCTCCCTCTGACCCAATCTTCCCTCTCGTGCTCTCTATCTCTCATTCTCTCTCTCTCAAATAAATAAATAAAATCTTTAAAAAAAAAAAAAGATCCTATAACACCTAAATCTCTGGGGAAAAGGATTCATCACAAAATTTAAGCTCAGGGAAGTGTAAGATGCATACAGTATTCCTTCTAAATCAGCATAAGATTGTCAGAATTACCATTTGTTATCAAGAGGAATTTCAAGAATAAGTTAAGGGAGGAAGTCAATAGAAAATATTACTGTTTAATTCTACCAATTAAAAGTCAATACTATAAAAGACTGTATTTATAACCATGTTAGCAAATGAAATTAGAATCTGTAAAATATATACACCTAATATATATCATTCATCCATACATTCAAGATCTACTGAGTACCTGTTTGATATAAGACCTTGAATTATTTGCTGGTGTCAAAAACCAGTAAGAAGCAGAACACTGGGCTTCCGATTCAGAGTATGGCAGTCTGGTATGACCAGAATTTGAGGGGCAAGGGCAGATCACAGAGGACTAAGCTACAACAGGAATATGGATTTTATTATAGAGGTGATTGAAATGATATTAAAGTGTTGTAAGCATGAAAGTAATCAAATATGCACGTGAAAAACTAACCCTGATGGTAGCATAAAAGGTAGATGGAAGAAGGTAAAGGTGTGAAATGAGACGAAAAAAAATCATGAGCAAAAGCATCAGCAACAAGAATGGAGAAGAGAAGACAGATAAATCTTGAAGAAAATTAAGTCAATAGGCCTTAGACAGGACTACATGGGGACTGTGAAAGAATAAGAAAATTCTCAAGTTCCTACCTCAACATCTGTATACATAGTGAATTTAAGTAATTCTAAAGGAGAAAGGAGGGAGAAACCACTCTAGATACAGAATTAAGTGATTTCAGTCTTTGATATTTTAATATTAAAGTGCCCATGGAGCACCCAGATAGATATTCTAAGTATGATAAGGGTATATGGATCTGGAATTCAGTAAAGTGGCAGACGTAAATATTTCAGAGTCACCATACACATATATAGTTTTTGAAACCAGGAAAGTAAATGGGCTCCCGCAGAGAGAACAGGTAGACTAAGGTGAGAAAAAAGGGCAAAACCTTTGTGAATACACACATACAAAGAAAAGAGCCTTTCCAGTGAAATGAGCATTCCTCATGAGAATGAGGAAATCCAAGAAAGAATGGTACCATGAAGAAGATAGGGTCAACAGAGGCAAAGGCTATAAAACTAGGACAAGAAAGAGGGGAAATGGATAATGGGAAGATATGGAGCACTAGAAACTGCCTCATTTCCATGGTTGAAAAGTGAATAGGAGGTAAAGAAATGATGGGCCCTGGGTGTATTTAGGATACTTAAAAGAGTCTTCTCTTCAGGAAAGCTTCTCTGCAGGAGGTTCGGATAATGCAGGGCAAGTACCAACAGAAAGGGAGACACAGTAAGAAGTGAAGCAATGTCCCAGTTCTAAAACAGAAACAAAACCCAAAGAATACCAGAGGGGAACAGAATCAAGAACAAAAAATCAATCTGGAAAAGAATACCTATTCAGTGCAGTCCAAAGAAAAGGGATATTGATAAGGGCATATAAACATGCATTTGTATGCTCAGAAGCAGGACATTTGGGGAATTCATATCTGCCAAGTTCTACTTTTCTTAGTGTGGTAGGATGCAAAGTCTCCTCTTGAGAGAAAAGTGAGCCATGGTAAAGCAGGGCCCTTGATAAGACTGATAAAAGCTTGCAACAGCTATTGTGGACACTGAAGAAAAAATATCTAAGAGGATGCAACACAGTTGCTATGGTTAGAAAAGTAGTATGCCCACTAAAGTATAACAAATGCTCTCTGCTCAGTTTCCTGAAGACCAGAGAGGATGGAAGACTGAGTTGATCTAAAGACTAGAAACTGCAGACAGGAAACTGAAATGAAAGAGAAAGAGCAAGGATTTTGAAAGAAATGGCTAAAAAAAAAAAAACAAAACAAAAACAAAAACATGAAGCACCCCAGGTCTTCACGAGATAGGGAAGACAGCAAAGCCATGATGTCCCAGTAGAATGGTAGGGGGCGGGGGGAAAGCACTAGATATAACATTTTAATATCAAGAAATTTTTAAAATCCATAAATTTATAAATGAGGTAAGTTTATATAAACTTATCCTTTTCCTCCTCTTGAATAAATTCTGGCTTCTATACTTCCCCCTTTACTACAAAACAGTAACTTTTGAAACCCACTAATTACTGGTCTTTGACCATTTTTCTTGCTTGAATTAAAGAATTTAGCCAAGGATTAAAAAAAAAGTAAGATCTTCATATTCTCAGAGAACTTACTATTTGCTTAGAGAAGTGACAAAAGAGAATGAAAAAAGATTAACAAAAGTGTATAGACATTGGTACGCAGCAGAATCTGACTACAAGAGAAGATCCTTTACTTATTCCTGAGATTCAATAGAGTGATTAAGGCCAGATTATGAAACATCTAGGGTATTTTAGCTCAGAAAGATGATAAGCAGACAGGAATCAAAGGGTGGGGTATCCAACAATAAAACAATATTTTACAGAAATGTTCCTCCTCCTAAAATGCATAAAGGTCAATTAAATGACTAATATACCAGAGGAAAGAATGAGCAGTATCTTATCGCAATATAACAGACTAGGACATATACTCCAGTATAAATTGAAGAACTACATATGTAACAATCCATATGATAATGCATTAATTTCAAATGTACAGCTGTTATTAAAGTCATCATCATGCTGTCTTTTAAATTTGTGAAAATATTTTACGTTAGCAGAAGTGATCTAATTTACCACGCTACTGACCATTAAAAATTAAGTTACTAAAAGGTATTATCTTTAAAAGTATGTAAGAGGAAAACAATACTTACCACAATGTTTTGAATGACCCAAAATCTCATCGGCTTTCATGGCTTCACACAACTCAAAGTACTGAACACACTGCTGAACTGCTGTAGTTATCTAATAAAATAATAAAATAGTAACTTATTAATAATAACTTATTAATTCTAGAAATTAATTCCATGCATTTGTCTTTTGCTTTGTAAGAGCTCCTTACATAAAGGCTTTAATCATGGCAGTGGGTTTGGCATGATGACCTGCTAAGGCATTTCTTCTAGCTTCTCCTCCATACTCTCATAGCATTTTCTGCAACTGTGGAATGTCTGCATTGTCCAGCAGAGTGGCCACTAGCCATATGCGGCTACTGAAAACCTCAAATGTAATTAGGGAAACTGAGGGAACTGGGTATTTTTAATTTTCTTTAATTATAATTTAAAACTAATACAGGGTTAGTGGCTACTCTGTGCAATTCTATTACATTTATGACATTTATGAAATTTTAAGTAGGTAGCATTAGGCAACACAATTTATGTGCCTGCTGTCAATTTTTTTTAAGATTTTATTTATTTATTTTATTTATTTATTTGAGAGAGAGAAAGCATGTATACAAGCATGGGGGGCGGGGGGAGAGGCAGAGGGAGAAACAAACTCCCTGCAGAGCAGGAAGCCTGATATGGGGCTCCATTCCCAAGATGCTAGGATCATGACCTAAGCGGAAGGCAGACGCTAACTGACTGAGCTACCCAGGCACCCCAGTGCTGTCTATTTTTAAGAACTGAGAAAGCTGAGAGCTTTATTTCCATAGCATTGTAAAGTCATGAACTAGTTGAAAAGCATTTTGGCTATCAGCATAAATATTTAACTTTTTATTTAAACAACTTCATTCTTTGCCCAATCTACCCATAAGGGAATGACTTCTGAAATGGCTTTATGTAGTGTATTTCCTTTTTCTTGCCCTCGCAAAGTCATTTAAAAAAAATACTGACAGCCAGAATTTAAATTTTCTCTTCATTTTTCACATACCCTGTTTTTTTAACTTCCCTCCCCTGCCCTTCCTCCATCTTAGGAGTTAGCAATTAAGTGCACCTGAGTTGCCATCCATCCTCTATTATTATGAACTCACTCATATTTTGTAAGTTTAGGAAAGCTTTTTAAGAGAAAATAAGGTTTAAGTTGAAATCTCATGTAAGTTTGACCCATTATGTACAGGACATATTTGATATAAAGTTCTTTATAATAAAGTAACTATTTTCAGACTAAAAACTGATTATAGTATAATTAACTCTTAAAAATTTGTTCCTTATTTAAAAAGTTAATCTATCAGAAACATTTGCAATACTTCCACCCGGGCCCCTGTGATAGCAACAGTAAATTATTTGTATGACAAACCATGGGGAGGGTGAATCACTGGGGTTTCTCTCCCCTTCCTCTATTCTGACAAGATCAGTCTATATTCATATGGCAAAAATCTTCATTTACAATAGGAATGGGAGCGAAATGAGATGTGGAAAGACTTTATTTCAATTCATTAAAAAATTTTTTTTTAAGATTTTATTTATTTGAGGAGAGAGAGAATGAGAGAGAGAGAAAGCACATGAGAGGGGGGGAGGGTCAGAGGGAGAAGCAGACTCCCCGCTGAGCAGGGAGCCCGATGCAGGACTCGATCCAGGGACTCCAGGATCATAACCTGAGCCGAAGGCAGTCGCTTAACCAACTGAGCCACCCAGGCGCCCCTCATTAAAAATTTTTAAACACTACTTTTTTAGGATTTATCTGAGAGAGAGAGAGATAAAAAGAAAGAGAGCAGCCCTGCAAGTAGGCGGAGGGGCAGAGGGAGAGAGTGAGAATCTCCAGCAGACTCCCCACTGAGCTTGGAGCTTCCCTCTGTTGGAGATCATGACCTGAGCCAAAATCAAGAGTCAGTCACTTAACGGACTGAGCCACCCAGGCGCCCCAAACACTTACTACTTCTACTAATAAATCCTCACTCTATTCTTCAACATTCCTCTCTTCTCCTTTCTGAAACTCAATGTTCTTGATTCTCAAACACAGAAAAATTATTGTTCTTTCATTTTATGCTCTACTGCACTCAGAGAGTTCACAACTCTAGGAATATTTCACTTGCCCTTTTAAACTCAAGATTCTAACAACAGAAATCATACTTATTTCAAAGTCATATGAGAACTTTTAAAAATATTTTAATAAATTTCACATTTTATGTTTGTCAATTGTTATTAGATTTGATTGCTTTTCAATTCCTTTCAATGCCCGTACATACTATTCTACTAATAGCAATAAATGTAGAAAATTTTGCTAATATATTTTACAGTATTAGTTTATATTTGGTGTAACTTGAATTAATTTTTGTAAATACGGAAGCATTTATCATTCTGAGTTTTCCATACAACCTTCAGTCAAAAGCCTGGGTATATTTTACAGAACTAACTCCCCTACAAATTCCTGACCTGAATTAAGTTATAATACTTAAAAATAGGGCTTATCTCAAACTAGCTCAATTTACTCTGTAATTATGGATTTCCTAATTGTTACCCTGACTATAATTTAAGTCTCTCCTTATATCCTTTTATATTTCACAGAAAGGTAGTTTTAAAAAGATCACATAAAAGGGGGATTGTTTCATTAACCAAGATTAATTATCACTCAACTTTGCACATTCAACTCATTACACTGTAAATCTTTTTGTGATATTATTTCTCAAAATTAAGGACAGAAATAGACTTACCAGAGATTTATATTTCTTTTCTAGAAGTCTTAGTACTGCAGTTCTGCTATAATATGCATGCTAAAATTAGGAGAAAATGATATTTAATTTAATATTCAAGCTATACCAAAGTCTATTTTTCCTGCATCATTTCCAATAACATAAATTACCAACAACAGTTTTAAATTATTGTAATCAGTACAAAAACAGGTTTTTCTATGTACAATGGATTATGAGCATAGCAATCACAAAGAATGCAAATGATAAGAAAAAACTACGGATCTTTTATTGACCAGTAGAAAAAATATTCGATCCCTCAAATGCAACCAGTTTCTGTGCTAAGTTCTTTTAAAACCATTATCAACACACATATCCGAAGGAAAGATACAAAAGTGGGGGAGGAGAAGATCACAACCCTCACAATGAAGAGGATATTCTACTGTCTACATATGCAGAAGTTTGCCAAGCATGAAATGTTCTGAAAGAACAGTATCTTAATCATTTTCTGCCAATCACATATTTTAAGTGATTCGAAGTGCCAAAAAATAATTCTCTCCTTATAGCTAAATATAGTAGGATTAAAACATGCTTTTTATGCATTGCACAAAGGGGAGACTATACATCAATATTACTAAATTATATTAGATATGTATTTTCAATGTAGCTTCTTCATTTTACTTAATAAAAACTATTAAACAGTATTATACTTGTTAAAAACCAGCACAATTCTAGGAAATAGAGTTTAATTAAATGGGGTATTGGTTAATTGAGGTTTAATAGCAACTCTGTGTGTTTTAACCCTAGTGGTTTAAAATGTTTTCAAAAACCATTAATCCTTTATTCAGTTTTAAAAGAGAATGTTAACCAACATTTCAACTTTTGATCACGTTCTGAAAAGAAATCCTCATTGGGCATGCCTTAGACCAGTCACTATACTATATCCCTCACACCAAGTTCAGCTGCTACCTGATTTGGTACATAAAGTTTTATATATTATCTATGGATGCTTTTGGGTTACAACAGAATTGAGTAGGTGCAAAGACAGTACAGCCCACAAAACCAAAAATTTACTGTCTGGCCCTTTAGAAAGTCTGCCAATCTCTGACTTAGATGAGTATAGGGTAATGAGATGAATTTTCATTAATATTAGAACACACTCAGGAGCTGATTTTTTTTTTAAAGAATTTTCTGTTGGTTAGTTTTCCTGTGATCTGCTGCATACTCTTGCAAATCAAGTACTAACAATAAAAAATGTTAAGTGAAAAAATTATAAACAGAATTGGATTTGTTTTTCTTTTAAAGATTTTATTTATTTATTTCTCAGAGAGAGAGCGAGAACAAGCACAAGCAGGGGGAGCAGCAGACAGATGGAGAAGCAGGCTCCCCACTGAGCAAAGAGCCCGATATGGGACTCGATCCTAGGACCCTGGGATCATGACCTGAGCAGAAGGCAGATGCTTAATGAGTAAGCCACTCAGGCGTCCCAACAGAATAAGATTTGTTAAAGACCTAAACCGATAAATTTACAATTGTATATAATGTAACTACATAACCAAAATCTTGATAGTTATACCTGTTATAGAAATTTAATTTGTGGTTTTACATATTTCACATGTTTTCTACAATAAAGGTATAATTTGATAATTAAAAATTAAGGAGAAAGTGTCAGATGTAAGAAACAAAGGGTTCAAGTTAATTAAATTGAGCAAACACTTATCAAACATAAACAGTATAGGCCAGGTAAGGGCTATACCCTAGAGAGAACTGGGTTTTGGTTAATTAGGCATTACTATCCAGTTTAGATAACAAAAATCAAAACAAAAATAAAAATAAGCCATCAACTAGGTAATGTCCAAACCGTGCCAAGCAGTAAATAAACATGTTGCTGCTTTGCATGGCAAGTCATGGCCCCACCCTTCTCCCTTCCCCACAGCTGCAAATACATAATGCCTGGCAGACCAGTTTTAGAGGGACAAAGATGTAAGAATAAAAGCCAACACTGCTGCAGCTACTATCACACAGACCACTTATTCCACAGCAGAGGAGGGAGGAACAGCATAAGGATCTCTTTTACTCTTCGATTAGTTTCAGTTCCAGAACAGTAATGAGTTCCCCGGAAATCACCGTCATTCAGGCATTAAACATTTTCTAAACTACAGGTTCAGGAGGAAGTAAATGAAAGGATATTTTCAGACATACTTCCTAAGTCAGAGAAAAATGAACACTGAACTCACATTCTACCATACCTACTTAAAAAATTTGAAGCTTTTAAACTAAAAAAGACTAGATTTCGGACAGATCATTCAGTTTACTAGATTCAAATGAATTATCATTTAAAATCCCATTCTGGCTCTGTCACTTACTAGGTAAACAATCGAGTAAGTTACTTCTCCATGCCTCAGCTCCCACATCATTAAAATGGGGTAATAATACCATCTATCTCATAGATTGCTGTAAGATTTAAATGAGTTTAACATGTAAAAGTGATTAGAACTCTTAGCACACAGTAAAAACTGGAATGTTAGTTATTCTTTGAAACAATACAGCAATGCACTGAAAAGTATAAAAACTTTCCATTTTTCCTTACCATCCACTTTTTGAACCACACAGCCTTGGTATCAACCAATGCAAAAAAGTAAATTGGATCCAAAATCTTTTGTGAGACAAGATGGCTCTGATCATGTTTAACTGATAATAAGGACAAAGTATTCTCCACAATTTCTTCCATATACCTTAAAGTTTGGGAACAAAACAGTTTTAGAAAAAAACAAATGCTATTACACATACACACACCCACTGTACCAGTGATATATTTTATATTTATGGAATAATAAAGTGAAAATTTTTAGAAACAACTTTTTTTTTATGTTTCAGCAAATGGTAGAGGTGGGATTCACACCCAATTTCTTCCTGCTTTTTATAAAACATATGTTCTTTCTACTTCAACACTGGCTCTCCAAACTTAACTTTCCTTTTTAGACTTACAGTTGCTCTTAACAACCTTATTAAAAAATTTTAGAACTGAAAGGAAAAAGGTTAAAGAACACTTAAGGAACTTGTCCAAACTAGCAAAGACAAATTATAAAAGAATTGGAGGCTACAACAACTTCATTTTGCTTTGTTGTGATAAATAAATGATATAAAATGATATTTGCATAGAGTCATTCATGTAGGAAAGCACAAAACATGAAAAGCTAAATAAACTTATGAATCCCTTCCCAAAAACATAACTCAATTAAGACTGTCTCTATTCTTTCTCCTTGTAATGTACACGGGACAGTAACACCCCTATATTTTATATTAGCATAAGTTAGAGGACTTACTTTTCTGGGTGACGAATCCAGAAAGATGGAGCCTCTTTCTGATATTCATTTAGAAGACGAACCTGAAAAGCAGTGCGTAACAGTTCTCAAAAATCAGAATTCTTAAATATAGAACTATTTAAATTTTTAAAAAAGCATATAGCAAGTGAATACCTTTTTAAGTAAGCAGATCACATTAGGATTACTTATATCTATACCAGCTGAAAGAGTAGGAATATGATTTTCTCTAGAAAGAAAGTATAACTTCAAATATTTAGCTGAAAAGAAAAATTTAAAAATATGATATCATTCATTTACAGTGTTTTCTGAAAAGTTATTTCCTATCCATTTTCTTAAGCACAAAAAAATTTAATAAACATACCTAAGCTTGTATAAATCTCCTTGGTCATATGTAATGGTGAAAGAGTAAATGTCTGTGCATAGAATTTTAAAATCCGGTCCTATGGAAATGAAAAGATTTGCATCAGAGATTCTTACAAAAATAGAGATGAAAAAACTATTTTTCACATAGTGAAAAACTTAGAAAATAAACAAAATAATCCATTCAGAAACTTAAGTAGGAATGTACTTATAAATAAGAGTACAATCTTATATTGGTCAGTAAAAAGTAAAATTGACCAAATCTACATGGGAGGGGAGAGAGTGAGGTTTGATAGACAGAGTAAGGTACAATGTGAAGGTATCAAGGGAAAAGTAAGAGTACTAAATGGTTAACACAAACAAACAAAAAATATTCCACTCTTTTCCAAATCCAACATTTGTTGTTTTTTTAAATTGTTTACATGGGTAGTTTCAGTAATTTGACATTTAGGACTCTAATATTTTGCCCATTCCCAAGAAAAGTATTATTTAACACATTTTCCAAATTTGCATTATTAAAACCTAAAGTAGAAACTATCACAAGGTAAATGAATTAAATGTTAATAGATGTAGCTAGAAAAGTATTTGGCACTAGTAAGTACTTACAAATGACAGCTATCATTTTAATTTTACCAACTTTAATATTGTGATGAAATTAATCCTAATCATGAAATTCAATATCCCATTAAAGAAAAACATAAGATCTCCTCAAGTGTTCTACTCTGGGGCGGGGGTAAATAACTTGCCTATATCAAATGTAGCATAATTAGAAAAAATGGTTACCCAAATGACTAAAAATTTCTAATAACCCAAAGGAATTCTTACTGAACACAGGATATTAAATATTTTAGAAAGTTTATTTTTATAGTTACAGCAATTGGTAAGTATCTGTCACACTCTTCAAACACTATAGGCTTCACTCAGTTACATGCAAGAGTCTTTTAGAATAGGAAATGAAGAAACAGAATCCAACTCAAGAATTTGGATCAAGCATAAATTCAAAATGAAAAGAATGCCATGGCTTGTTTTCTAGTCCAAAATGATTGGTTCTATTACCATTTCCCCTCTGTAACAACTTCTTCCCATTTTATTCAACATTGACAATATTCTTGCTGAATAATCTATAATGGCTAAACACAGCCACTTATATTGACCCATTAGGATATCTACTGTTTATAAAGTTGTTATATAACTTTTTAAATAATAAAAGGAAACCTGACAACTATTCTTTGTTAAGAAAAAAAATACAGAGAAATTTACAACTGTATTTCCTTTTAGAAAGCCTAGAAATGTTAAAAGTGACCCTGAAATATCTTTTTCTCTTTTGAAGTTCCTGGATCATTGAGTTTTACAGAAGTCTGCATCATCATCTGGTGTCAGGTTGAACTGAATCCAGATATTAGGTAACTGAACACATTTTCCCCCCTTATAAAAACAACAAACCACTTGTTTCCAAACCACTTCTGTTTATCAGTATAATTGTATCTTCATTGATGGAAGAATGTGATTTTCAGCAGATAAATGTATTGAGTTTTTTTTCTTTAATAATTGTTCACTGTCTGACTCCTCTACTAGAATGTAAGTTCTATGAAGCAAAGACTTCTGTCTTGCTCAGTGTGTTTCCTTACACTAAACACAGGATCGGGATCTGAAAGAGACACTGTCAGTTTTTCACAGAGAGTCGTCCAATTTTCACAGTTCAAAACATCAGATGGCGGAGCTGAACATAATGTTTGCAAGGCTTCATATCTCACCTATAATTTAAAAGATTTTTTATTAATACCCAGCCACTAGAATACACCAAGACTTCAAATATTAAACATTGAAAAGCAGTCTAGATGATTGTTTCAAAGAGCCAATTGATGAAAATCAGAGGTCCTTTTATAAAACAATTTTTGAGAACTCATTTTTTTAAACTAAGTGTTAAAAACAAAAAAAATAGGTTGTTATTTTACATAAAGCAAAAATTAAAACCTAACTGTTGGAGATTCTAGGTCACATGTCTAAGTGAAAGAGGAAGAAGAATGGTGGCCAAATCTGAATCAACAGGGCAAGGTTTTCCAATGGATTTGTCTCACACATTTTCCCTACTTAAGTAGGAACCTATAGGTAGTCCTACAGTTTGAGGGCCTTAATTTTAAAAATAGCATAATATGCCCCTGGTGAAGCATTCCCATTCCAGAATATAGTTCTCACAAAATAACTTGGACTAGTTTTTGTTGCTACACCATATTTTCTGACCTTCTAACCACTGTGGTAGGAAGAGTCAACAGTGTGATGCAAAATTGAGGTCTGTATTTTCATGGAAAGCTTACTTCTTAATCATTCTTTGCAAAATCAAATCAGAATTCACGCAAAACAGTATGATCCAAAGGACAGCAGTGAAAAATAGCTCTACTCCAATCATGAATGGAGCAAGGCTTCTCCCCAACCACTCTCCAACTAGTGAATAATAACACACTGATTCCAACCCGTTTCTCAAAATCTGGTTGTTTCCCCAGATGAAATAACTGAAACCTAGTGGTCTAAAAAGGGCAAGAGGTGGGGGGGGGGGCAGGAGAAGCTAAGACCTTAGAAAACCAAACCCTCTAAATCAAGTTTTAGGTGAAAAAGAATACACATGCACTTACAAATGTCTATATATATTCTTATGAAAGAAGAACTCCTAAACATAACTATATTTGTGATAGGGACTGGAGGACTTTGGAGAGATTTTAGAAACATTAAATATTTTCTCCTTTTCAGTTAATTTTTAGGACAAAATCCCATTAAGAATTTATTACTTGCAGAAGCACAACAAAAGTTTCCGAACAAGTATAGATTTCCAACTAATCCACTTAAACTGAAAATAAGATTGTTAACATATAGGGCGTCTGGATGGCTCAGTCAGTTAAGTGTCCACCTTCGAGCCCCAAGTTGGACTCCCTGCTCAGTGGAAAGCCTGCTTCTCCCTCTCCCTTTGTCCCTCCCCCGACCTGTGCTCACACGCCTCTATCTCAAATTTTATTTATTTAAAAAATAAAATAAAATAAAATGAAAACTTGAAAAACATTTCAAAAACTGAAACCAATTGGCAAGATATGCACAAAAGTCTTAGGTACTTAAAATCCTATTTTCTATTTCAGACTGATTTAATGAAATGAGACTTGATAAACAGTAATTTATATAATCTTAAAATATAAACAGGCACAATTCAATAGAACTCCTTCTTTAAAATCCTTTTTCTAATAAATGAACATGTGTCAAAGTTGCTCACATTTTCCAGAAGTAGAAAGAACATTAAATGAAGATCGTTTTTCTTCAAGGAAATCACTAAAATATCACATACAAAGCAACAGTGAAAGAACAGTCTGGGAGACAACTGCTTATAACTTTATCCCTTCAAAACTGAAACTAGACATAAAAATTTCCTCCCACAAACCATGACAATTCTCTGACAGCCTCCCTTATTCTGTGACCTTTCATTTCAAAACTGGAAAGTCTAGCAGGGACATCAGTCTAGGAGCACCATGATAATAAAGGCCTATCTTCAAGAGAAACAGTCCAGCTGCTACTGATTATAATCTAATATATTATAAATATATATACCTGATTGAACTTGACAGCTATCCTTTAAACTTACCTCTTTAGGTTGCCCCGGATCCAACTGGTCTAAAATCAATTGTAATTTTCCTTGACAAAATTTGTAACTCTGTAACACAATTGACAGAACATTCATTTAGTAGACTTTTAAGAAGTACTGCTATAAATTATTTTTTAATACAATTCCAAGCACAAAATGCATTCTGAGCAAGAAAAGAGAGTGATCTATTCTGATTTGGCAGAAAACTTGGAATTTGTTTCCCAAGGCATTTAAATGGGAACTGAAGTCTCAGGAGAACAGTGTACTTCATGTATATGAAAATTATTATTATTTGCTGAGCAACTGTAATATGTAGTACATTGCAGGATTCAAAAGATGTAAAGCCAAGATGTTTTGTGAGATGAATGTGAGATGAATGAAACAGAAAGTTAAAACAGGAAGGTACTAATGGTACCCTAGGCATAGCTATGATGCTGCTTGAACATTTTTGTCCCTTAATCTTTCCTGTACTTTCCCTTAGCCCTCCATGCCTCCTCTTTGGTGAAATATTCCTGAGATACAAGTCTCTATCTAGAGAAAAGTTTATAGTAGACCATAAGTTATTTTGGAAAAGGAAAGGGTCTTTTTCTTACTGAAAGAGTTTAAATATGACTAATACCTAAAATAACCATCTAAAAATAAAACTGCCATTAAAATAATAGCTGTCATTTATTACCTTTTATGTAACAAGCCCTATATGATCTCAAATCACAATGACTGAAATATGAGAAATATGAAAACTAAGGTTAAATAACTTCTCCAAGTCACCCAGCTATCAGAACTCAGATTCCCATCCACATTTTTACTATGTACACTCTTCCCTTAGGTGTTCTCATCCAGTTCTTTAGGTACATCATGATGACTCAAATTTCCATCAGTCACTTCTTCTCCAAAGTTATATATAATTATCCTTTCAACATTTCCATTTGGATGTCTAATAGGCATCTCAAACTTAACATGTCCAAGACAGAATTCTTGATTTTATTCCAAACCTGCTCCTCCCCAAACTTCTCCAGCCTCCTAAATGACATTACCCACCCATCCAGATTTTTTACTTAGATCAAAAATAGGAGTCAATCCTGGATCTTCATTTTCTCTTATTTCCTATACCCAATATCATTAAGTCCCATAAGATAACCCCCAAGTTCCACATATCTTAACTCCAACTACCCCATACTTCCCTGCTAAAACCTTACATCAAGGCACCATCAACTCTAGCCTAGACTCCTTCAATTCATACTTAGTCTCCTTGCTTCTATTCTTTTTTTATATTAAAAAAAAATGTTTTATTTTATTTATTTATTTATTTATTATTTTTTATTGACATATAATATATTATTTGTTTCAGGGGTACAGGTGTGTGATTCATCAGTCTTGCACAATTCACAGCACTCACCACAGTATATACCCTCCCCAATGTCTATCACCCAGCCACCCTATCCCTCCACCCCCCACCGCTCCAGCAACCCTCAGTCCTTGCTTCTATTCTTAAATCCCATCCTACTCCACCCTACCATCCACTCATTCTCCAGCAACAGTCAGATGGAGCTTCTCAAAGTTACAAATCAAATCTCTTCAACTCCCTTATTTCAATCCCACAAAGGAGACTTCCTACATTACTCAGAATATAGGAGATTTACTTACATGATCTAGGCCCCTGCTTCTCTAACACACTCTCCTACAATTCTTCCCTCTGCCATCCAGACTTCAGTCACACTGGCCTTTTTTCCCCATCCCTGGAAGACGCCATGCTCACTGTAGCCTAAGAACCTTCATCTCCATACTCCCGCCTGGCAATGCTCTTCCTCCAGAGTTTTGTATGGCTGCCCTATTATTGCTTAGAATTTGGTCTTTTTTCACTATAGTATCCCCAATACCTGAATTAGTGCCTCATACAGAGTAGTCACTCAATACACATTAGTTTAATATATAAATGATTACAAAGTGAGTCTTCCCACAGTATTACACTGTCCTTAGCAACACAGGGTACATACAACCATTCTATAAAAAACCCAAAATAGCCTGATATTCTATTTCTTAAAAAGCCTTAAGTTTTACTTTTACTCCTTTCTAAAAGTGTATAGTTGAACTGCTGAAGACTCTGTACATGCTACTTTTCAAAATTAAAAGTAATATACACTAAATAGACCTTCAATTTTGAATTTTTATATTATAGTTAAAATATTAAAATCTATGGATACTAACAATAAATATAAGTATATGAATGCAGCAGTCTTGCCAAATGAAAAAAAACATAAATAATATAGAATATCTTAAATAGTATATGTAAGCATATGTATGAATTTATATGCATTTGTGATACATGATACATATATAATGCATATACGTACATTTAGAAGTATATACATATACATGCATATAAATGTACTCAAATACATGTAAAGTATATATGTATACACTTACTCATTCTGTTCTACTGCTAAACAAGTTTTTTTTTTTACCCCCTTTAGTCTGGCCCTTTTGCCCCTCTTGTAAACTTGATTTCTTCTGATCCTTCCACTCCCATCATGACTTTTACCAGATCATTATCAAGGTCTAAAATGTCTTGCCATCCAACTTACTAAAAAAATAAGTATGACGTCAAGGACATGAATCTTAATTGGATAGATGAAGTTTCAAATCCTGGTTCAATCTTCAACTAGTTATGTGACCCTGGAGTCTTGAACCCCATCCTGTTTTCACATCTACCTCCCAGTGTCACTGGGAAGAATTAAATGGGAAAACTGCAAAGTCTTTTGCTTTATTGTTATAAAAGTCTAAAGTTTGAAGTAATCTCCTGTTTCTCAGGAAATTTTCTATGAGAAAATATAAAATAACTGACTCTACCTACCAACCACCTATTCAAGATCAAGCAATCTAAAGCTATAATTCATTCATTTCCATAGATTCCCATTCTAATCCAGCCTCTTTCCCAGTATAGAGGCATGTTCTAAAACAGCCCTGATAAATGGGGAGCCAAACATTGTTCAAACATTCTCAGCTACAGCCAGTTCATACTTGGTGAAGCAACCAATATTATGTCAAAGCAGTAGTCAAAAAATGTAATACATAAATCTTAACAAAATTCATTTATTTAAATGCTCCCCTTGACAAAGGCTGTTTTCTAATCTTATGTGCAATACTCTAGGCAAGCAACCCTTACTCTCTGAAAATGGTTTTGCCTTTTATTTCACAAAAATGATCAAGGCTAATCAACATGATGATCCTTCAACTTACCTCCTCTTCCCCCCCAATATTATTCTGTGGTGAACTATTAACCAAATTCAAAGATCTTTTCTTAGTCCTCAGCATTAACTTCTCTTTAGCCTTCATTACAGCTAGTTAACCATCACCTCCACCTTGAAATTCATACCTCCTTAAGTTCCTACCCAGTGCATTGTGGTTTGGTACCTTCTTTTCTGACCTACCCGTTAGTCTCTCCTGGCCCTCTGAAAATGTGTTTCCTAAGGTCTCACCTAATTAGGTGGGCCCAACCTTTCTACCAAGTGAATCCTGTATTTTCAACCACTTGCTACACCACTGGAATACCTTACTGGTATTTGCCATTTAAAATCTTGAAAAAAAAAAAAGAACTCCCTATATTCTCCACACCTAACCTTCCTCCCTAATCCCAGGCATGGTTTATGACACCATGGTCTTCCTACCACCTCAGCTTGAAACCATAGCTAGACTTTTGACTCTATTCCCACTCTGCACTGCTCCCCCCAAAACACTTCAATAATCAGGTTTAATGATCATACCTCTGTTAATAATTCTCACATCAGTCCCTATTTATTTCTACAAAGCCTCCTCAGTTTAGGCCTTCTTACTCCAACTATCGCGATAGCCTTCTAATTTCTCTCCCTACATCTGCTTTCTCACCTGCTCATGCCCTTCTGCACACAATTATCAGGTAAATCTCCCCAACACACTTTTCTGTTCAGAAACCTAAAATGATATCCCTTTACTTACAAAATAATCCAATTTAGCTCTTAAATGCATTCATTTATTCCTCATATATTTATTTGACATCTACCATGTTTCAGATACCTATTACATAACATACCAGGCACTAGAATTCTATAGCTAGGAACAATAATTAAGATCTAATCCTTGCCCCATAATTTGGCCTTAATCTACCCTTCCAATTTACTTCCACAAACTCTTTGTTCTAACCCTTCACATAAACTACTCAGGTTCCCCAATAGGCCACATTCTTTGTTGATTTAGAGCTTTTGTCCATTCCCTTGTTTGAAATACTTTCCTCCATAGCTCTTTGATAGTCTTAGTTATAAAGACTCTTCTTTAGATTCCCAGGATGCACTATTTCTACCTTACAACTCTGTTATTTATATACATAACCTCTTCACAATCTCAAGTAAGCTCCTCGAAGAAATAACGTATACCTGATTAATCTTTTCAGTTTAGCAGTGGCTATCACAAAATATTTCACATAGTATATGCAAATAATATATTGCACATAATATATGTTGGTGAACAGACAACCAAAGAGGTGAAATCCTTCAATTCTACCACATGTGCCTTTTCTCCCAGATTAAAATACATATTAGAAAAGCATAGCTTGGGGGTGTCCAATTCTTGGTTTCAGCTCAGGTCATGATCTCAGGGTCAGGAGACTGAGCCCCACGATGGGTTCTGTGCTCAGCATGGAGTCTGCTTGAGATTCTCTCTCTCCCTCTCCCTCTGCCACTCCCACTCATGCTCATGCACGTGTGCTCTCTCTAAAATAAATAAATCTTAAAAAAAAAGCATAACCTCTAATAGTTATCTGATTGAAGAAGCCTCATTAATCTATCAACTTCCCTTTAATTATTTATCATTTAATTACTAATTCTGTTCATTAGCCAACCTAATACCTGCCTTAAAGGTTACCTATTTTTTTAAGGTCTGTGTGTTATTATGTATCAGTGGATTGACATAAATTTCCATAGCTACTAACCAGTAACTTCTTTAACGAGAGCAAGTAGATAGTGTGTCCCATGTAATACAGATTTGTTAAGATTTTTCAACAGTTCTAGATATTTCTTAGATTGAAAATTCCTGAGGGG